TCTTTGATGAATTGTCTCTAAATTATCTGCATACTTTTATCTAGTAGTAGGTTTGGGGATTAAAGGACGCGGATAGGGGCTGAGAGAGGTTTGGACTTCCAGGCACCCTGCTTTGCATAAAGTGTTGGATCCCCTGTACTGATGGTATTGTCCTGTCACCCTGATACGCACTACTCATGCATGAGGGTTAGACCTGCAACTATCATACTGGGTCGTGACCCACAGAACTCCATAATAATACAACCATCATACACATGCTACAAGATAAAGAGATCTAATCGAGAATTATGGAGAGCAATGTACAGAAGTACAGTACAGGATTATCACGTGATGTGGAAATTATTAATGCCAAGCAAGCCAAGGGCTAACTATCAGGACCATTCATATTTCAAGGCTCTCGTTTAGATATAACTCACCCCATTTGCTATATAGTTGGGAAGCTCCCAGAATCGTAATCGTCCTCTGATTATCCTTCATATACTCCATTTGCCGATATTTCTCCCATTAATATTGAGCTGTTTACTTCATAACGAAGTCCTACACATAAACAACCATAAAAGTTGAACGTAAAGCTGACCGCCCTAGTTGTGTGCTTCAATTCCAGAAATTGCGAAACTCCATGGCTAAATATCTCAAACTTGAAAAAAAATATTAGTCTTCAACAGGATCAACTCAAAGGGCTTCTTTTATGACGACCAACAGAATGAACAGGCCTTCATGTGTCAGAATAATATTTCTTCACGGCCTAGTAAATTTGTTGAACAACAGATGTGTAAAGTCATCTCCGTTACTAAAACACAGTCATTCTCTTAGTTCATTAACTGTAGGATCACTCGTCTCTTACTATAATCAGACCCTTTTCATAAATCATTCATAGTTCTATCTCCGTCTCAGGAAGACGCATCTCGAATTGATATGCATGTCTTTCTTGTGTCAATTCCTTGAGGCTCGTATTCAACCACTCTTTGGAGGAATTAATTTCTTGTTGTTCGTTCTCGTTCAAACGTCGCTTTTTGCTCCTTCCTGTCTCGTTTTGGTTGGTCGCCTGGTGAAACACCGTTTGGGAAGTATCTGTACCTATATACTCGGCGTGCAAAACTAGGTACTGGTTTCCCAAGTAAAGCGAGTAGCAATCTCTCCCATTAATGCCCCGTGTTGGGTTGTCGCGAGAATATATATAAAAATGATTTCTCGAGAACCCTTCGAAGAATCCAGTCAAAGCGGATTGAATATTTGGCAGCTGCACGAGTGTATCAGGCTCACCGGGAATGATGAATTTCATGCTAAAGCAGCTCGGTTGAATATCCATAGTCGGAGCAACCGATGTGGGATCGAAATGGGGAGTAGAGAATACGGGAAACACACTTGCTGCATTTTCTTCTGGTGGAATGATCGTAGCCTGAATCATGTCTTCGAAGTTTGGATTCCATAGAGAAGCTTGAGAGCCTGTATCGTCGGTTTCAACTGAAGGAACGAATTGACTGTCGGACTCATCTTTGAGATAGCGGAAATATGCCAAGAATACCGATCGCCGAGCAAACCCTGCAGTAAGCCGGGGGGAGCTCCAAGGCTGTTCCAATACCTCCCGCGAAAGCGCAAAATGGTCTGCCTCTACTGAGTCTGTAAATGGCCTTCCACATCGCCCTTCTACTGAGATATCATCTTCCACGTTTGCGGGACAGTCACAGGGGATGAGGGGTGGTAATTCAACGAAGTGAGGCTGAAGCCCATACACAAGAGGTGTGCTTAGCCCTTTCTCCCTGGTCAACCAGGAAAGATGTTGCCATAGGTTCTGTCGTACAATAGTGTGATTATTTTCAGCGAGAGTTGCCGCGTGTTGTGTCCCAACCTTTGTCCGCGGCACGCGTCGTTTTTGATCCGTCATCTCAAACCCGTACTGAAAACTAAAACGCCACAAATCATAAAGATCTCCTCGAATTCCATTTTGAAGATTTGAGGTCATGATGGGGACACTTGTGACATATTGTTCAACTAGGCCTTCATCAATAGTTCTCCTCCGATGAGGATCAGTAATACAAAATTTCTGGAGAACGCTACGGCCGACCTCCAGAGTTTGCCTGTCTTTAAAGAATGTTTCTAGTGTCAGTATGGGATACTGAATCTCTTTCAATCGTTCCCAGATTTCAGAGCGGTCCTGAGTATCTTCAATATCAGGGAACAGCTCTTCTTTGGACATTCGATCCTTTAAGAACTTCAAGTCCCGAGCAGAGACTTTAGGTGCCCTGGATTGTAATAATTCGACAGTCACACCATCCAATCGCGCCAGGAGGTCAGCCCTGTCTCCCATCAAGCCGAAAAATGTTTTTTTTATGTGATTCAAATAGCAGCGAAGAGGCTGGTAAATCTTTTTAGCCCTTCGATCATAGATTTCTGCTTATTTCAATAGAAGCGATTTTCTTACCTCATCACAACGCATTGCCAACAATTTATGAAGCACTCCAATTCGCATGCCGTCCCAGATACCTGCTATGGGAAGTAGATCATCGAAGGCTTGAGGCAGTGTAGGATGTTTGAAAAAAGCTCGCAAATACTTTCCTTTTTTGCTTCCAGGAACCCTTTCTAAAGCAGCCCACCAATGGTTTGCTGCGATTCTGTTTACGGGGCCGTTTAGGTATCCCTCATAATACCTTATCCGTTGATATATTAGCCCATCCGGAGGGGTTTGATCATTTGGGAAGCGTTCTCGAAGTGACCGAATGAATTCCTCTTGTAAGAGTTCTTCACTAGCTTGAGTGAAATCAGACAAAGATCGAATGGGGGTGAGCGATCACTTTGCGTACCTACTTGCTCTGTGACATAGACATCCACAATCCACCATGAATTTGCAGGACTGAGCTGGTTCCTTGCCGCGATAATCAGACTTTCGTGGTCCTGTGCGCGCAGCTGGTAATCAATATCGACATCCAATTGATGAAACTGTCCATCTACCAGTCGGGGCCTGACGCGACGTTCCCAATCACATTCAGGAACCAATATAGGGACATGATGTTCTTCCATCAAGCGAAGACACCCTTGAGTGTTCAAAATTCGCTCAAGTCGAATGATATTCTGACGATTGCTCATTTGCCGCTTAAAGTTCTTTTCAAATACAAGACGAGAAATTTCAACACGTGCGGCCATCTTGAAATGCTCCTTGCGATAGATGGATAATTTATTATCTACCTCTTCTGCTTGGGTTTGGGTTACGCGCGTCATTTTTTAATGAAACGAGTGCGATGTGATTAAACTTGTCTGCTGAGCGAGCAGGGTTACTTAAATGCTCTGAGGAGGGAGCCAATTCATGTGTTGCGCTTCTTCGACGGACATACTATAGCAGCCCTCAACTCGAGACCTACGATGGCACACGTCCCTTTTCAAACGTGAGAGTGATCTTTAGTCTTTTCGCAGAACTTTGAGGGCGTTTAACCAGCTCACCGTTGGAATTTGAACCGTCCTAGTAGATCTGATGATAGTAGAATGCGAACAGAATTGGTCAAATTACTACGTTGGATCAAATTTAGCTAAAAATTCAAAATGAGGGTCGTGCTGCCAATTGCAAAAAAGAAAAGCAATCAAGTGAGTACATGTAAATCTGGGTCCTGATTTAGATCACCGTACTGTTGTATGCTTTTATAACATAAATATAAAACCCATCGCTCTTCTAAAGAGCACATGGTTTCTACGTGCCCATGAACGGGTCTCACTAAGGAAATTCAGCCCCAGAACACTCGACTCTTGCAAGACCCAACTTTAAGTTAGCGAAATGCTCCAGCGCGTGGGAAAGTTACTTCCTTTGACTTTCTCGATATCGGCCTTGGTCTGCCTAGCCGTTGTGTTCGCGGGATGCGTGTCGACCACTTCTCCCACTGAACTGTATTTCTTAAAGGCACGGTAATATAACATAAAAGTCAAGAACAATATATTAATACATGACAGGTAAATTTAAGCGAGTTCCCAAAGCTAGAGAACTTGCATCTACGTCGTTCCCTTAGTATTGCCGGGGTGAATGATATCGCAAGCAAAGCTAGTAGTGAGGCCAACAGTGCTGTGAGCAGTGCTTCGACGGCGGTTATATATGCCTCAGACGCTGCACAGACTGCAGTGAGCCAGATAACAGATGAAGTCCAATCTTTATCCAACGAGATCAGCTTACACCTTCCAGACTGTTATTATGTTGGGCTTTGGGGTTATTGCCAAGCACAGAAGGGAAAATCATCATATTCAAATTGCTCGCAGCCCAGTACCTCTTTCTCATTTGACTTATTAAGCATTTTTGGGGCAGTCTCCTCAGATATCGATAAGGTATTACCCGATGACAATAACAAGGTTCTTTCTGGATATCATGATATTTCTCGGTGGTCTATTTCAGCCTATATCACGGGATTTGTTTTCACATTCCTCGCTGTCATATTCGGTGTAACCACTATGTTTTTCTCTCGAGCAAAACTATTGCTTATCATTTCTTCACTGGTAAGACCTTGGTGGGTTGATTCTAAATGAAAAAGTCTGACTGTGACTAAGTTTGCAACGATTTTCATAACCGGTGCGTCTATTGGGATCACGATAATATACGGGTTGATTATAGGTGCCATACAAAGTGTTCTTCACCCTCTAGGAGCTGATGCAAATTTTGGGGCGCATTCGATTGCTGCAGCCTGGCTAGCAGTGGCATTTTCCTTTGCAGCCCTTTTGACATGGTTGATTGAGATGTTTTGTTGCTGTATTTGATGTAGATTTGGAATAGAACCTTACAAAGCCGGTGCATGCCATTTCAAAATCAATTTCATCATTTCTTTCTGATTCCGCTTAACTCCCGGCTAGGTATGCTCACTCTATATCTGGAGTGTATCACCTTGCTTTGTCAAGTAGGAAAAAGGTTGTTATTGGCGAAAGCTCTATCGTTGAGTAGCCACACTAAGTCTCGGATCACTAAATTCAGATGTTCGACAACCATTTAAAGAGAAGCAAATGATATAATTCCCCATTTAAGGTAAAAATCACTACAAAGATAAAGTAGATACGTTCTCGTTTGCCGAATCGACTCTTAAAAAGAGATCATCCACTGGCACCATTATGAACTGCATCGACCGTGGGCTATCACAAACACCCCGGTTTGCATGATTCTCAACATTGCCAGGTTCTTGGGCGCTATCGGTGAATTTGAAAGCTTCACGTGCTGAGTAACGAGGGTCCAGCTCGCAAAATTCTTCACAGGCCGACTGTGCCTTACGTGACTGGTCAGCCAGGATTTGGACTGATGCTTGGAGCTCTTGCGCGATTTGGTATACGGGGTAAAATTCATCGTACAATGAACCAGAAGCACCAGATTGGTGCAAGCGAATCAAGTCCTCGGAAGCTTGCTCGGTCTTGTCCTGGAGGTGTTTGAAAAGGGTGTAGCAAGCTCGAAAGTATACATTTTCTCCCTGTTGTCGGCCAATCTGTCGAACAACATCCACAATTTCCTCCATTAGGCTTTGCTTGTTCAGAAATGAGATGCGAAAAGTTGTAATCTTTCACAGCGGTGACATCTTATATTATAGGCCGACCTACACGGTTGCAGGAAATGCTGGTCACAAAGATGCAGAGTCTGGCGAAGCCCAGGCAATAACCATCCCTCATAAATGAGCTTTTTACTACTGGACAAGGACTTTGTGACTTGAAAAAATATCCAATGAAGACTATCATGCTCTTGGCCCGAGCGAGTAGCTGCCGCGAATGAGATAGGATATTGAATCACAGAATTGAGGGTGGCGAGGTAGGCGCTGAACTTTGCTAGATCAACATTTGAATAGGGAAGTTTCGGATCAAAGTGATCAATTACTTGATGGCATTGACATGATGGCGCTACTTGCTATATCATTCATTGGCTTAATGGATAGAGAAGACTGAGCCAGTGGTAAACATCCCGTGAAAGCTATGTTTGACAGTCGCTTGAAAGATGACCTCGGAAACAGGGCAGAGGAATTCAAAGGTGAGCATCTCGTCATCATAACCCACTCTTGACCACCCTCTCTTGACCATACCCTCTTGACCACTGTTGGAATATCCCGGTCGCTGAGAGAATAAAAGGCTGGGATCACGTACATTTATCTACCTCAACATTTCACTTGTATCTTAGACAATACACTCAATACAACATACAATCAACTCCCCTCAATAATATGACCATTGAAGCATCACTTAATAAACCAACAACCACCCTCTCTTAACCACCCTCTCTTAACCACCCTCTCTTAACCACCCTCTCTTAACCACCCTCTCTTAACCACCCTCTCTTAACCACCCTCTCTTAACCACCCTCTCTTAACCACCCTCTCTTAACCACCCTCTCTTAACCACCCTCTCTTAACCACCCTCTCTTAACCACCCTCTCTTAACCACCCTCTCTTAACCACCCTCTCTTGACCACCCTCTCTTGACCACCCTCTCTTAACCACCCTCTTGGACCTTTCCTTACGATGGTGAATGCTATTTGTAAAACGTTGCGTGATGTCTTTCTTTCTCCTTTCTGGTATCCTTTTCTCGGTTGCGTGAGGTAGGATCGGACAACCCGTCCGGATTGAAGCACCTGCTTCATCCATGCTGCTCAGCTTAAAACCCCAGCTTTCCCACGCCATCACCCAAGAATTACACGATCCACAACCTAATGGCAGACCCCAAAGCGCAGTCCCTGCGCGACTTCGCCATCCTCACCATAATCAATGTCTTTGGGCTATTGTACTTTTACCTTTTTGTGATTCACTTCCTGCTCTTCTATTTTCCCTCATCGCCAGACCGAATTCTGGACTCGTTGTCTGTGTTGGCGTTTTGCGCAGGGGTCATCATCTGGTGCTTGTCCAGCCTCTTCTATCGCTTTCTAGATGCTTTCCGGGGCAATGATGCGGCAGAGTGGCAACATCTGGAGTTTGGTGCCATTTTAGTTCTAATCTGGACATCCACCCTTCCTGCCGCGGTGGTGCTATTCCGGAATGAGCCCTCTCTCCGGCTTGGATACCTATCTGCCATTACCGTCGTTGCTGTCGGGATTCTGGTGGACTTTGTGGTCTACGATTCCAGTGGCAGGGCAGCGCGGAACCGGTTTCCGTACAGCTGCATTTCACTGGGCTTGCTTTCGCTAATACCAGCCATTTATGCCCTGACTGGGACGTTCCAAAGCCCGCCTGCATTGGCGGTACAGTTCAGCCGACTCGCCCTCGGGAATATACTTGGCACTACGTTCTATCTGCTGCGTCCCTTGGAGAGGCTTGGTCTGGTGAATGGCTGGCGGCCCAGTCTCTATGTGATGCATATCGTCCTGGCTTACAACGCGGTTTCATATTCGAGATACCTCTTACCCGCAGTGCTTCAAGGTCAAGTATGAGGTGGATTCTAGCAAAATCGTGACGCTGTACAACGTTGGGTGATCCTCTACACTAGAGCGAAGTGGAGCGAAATAGTTGATCATGGCTACTGCGCCTCTTATATCGCTCGTTACCTTGGGCTCCTTTCCTTGTCGGTATAAATAGACTACATTCCTGTTACTGGAATCTGAAACGGTTAACCCGTTCTATTGGATTGCAATGTACTGTGATAGCGGAGATCTTGTGTACCAAGGATCCGTTGCGTTTTGTATATATCTCGAACACACATACTGTTGCATTTTCTGAATCAAGCAGTTATTTTATATATTCGTACCGCTTTTGTAGTTTTGCTATAAGTATGATTTTCTTCTCCCTTGCCGTGATGATAATCTATTCCTATTCAACGGCGATAGATGTGAGGGGCTCCTAGCTCCCAGTGCTTTGTCGTAGTGACAAGCTTGTGCAATCTCAATCGTGGTGAACGCTCAGTGCTCAAATTGCTTTCTTCAACACAAAAGACCATGTTCCACTTCTACTTTCAGTCTGTGTAACGCTCCGATGAAACTGACAGGCAAAGACTGCCCGCCAGGACTTAGTCACTCGGCGGCAGCATTTTTCCTATTTTGTAGGGAATGGCCCTTGGCTCAATGCGTGCCCTTGGATGAAGTTACAGTTAATTTCCACTTCGACCATGACTGACCGTTTCGACCGTGATTGACTGTTTCGATCGTGATTGACTGTCGACCGCGACTGACTGTTTCAACCGTGATCGACCGTTTCGACCGTTTCGACCATGATTGACCGTCGACCGCGACTGACCGTCAACCGCGACCTGGTCCGTGCCCACATGAACCGTGCCCCGACATCTCATCAGTGCTGCACCTCTGAACGTTCTTCTTGTCTGTAACGAACAGTGACCACTTGGTTGACCGATTTGATTATGTTCTGATTGCTACTTCGGTGGAGATACCATGGCCACCGTCGTGATCATTCCGTGGGTTGCCGCTCTTCAGGTGCATCTGTCAGCCGGGCAGTGCGCTTCAGAAGATATGACAACCTGCGATTCAAGAGCGGTTACGGTCCTGGCGGTCAGCCTGTTTGTCGGAAACCGGATGGAATAGGTTGTCATCCAACGTGATGCATGCATGACCCTCGGGTTTGAAAGGTATTCTGCGCATGTCTGGGCAACATGGCTGGATGCTCAGATATATGCGTGGCTATAAACCTCTCGCTGTCCTGGACAGTTGGAGTGAAGTGAGCAGAGTACAATGCTGGAGACCTTGCCAAGTGAGATTCTCATGCTGATCGCAGATTGGGTAAGTGCCAATGTGTTTGATGTTTTGATCTAAGTATTGACCCCCCCCTCCCCCAGCTGCCAACCACCACCCTGCGTATTCTCAGCCGAGCCTCGTCCAGACTGTATGCGGTTTTGGTCCCTCGGATCTACCGTATTATTTCATTCCGTGCAGCTAGTGAGTGGGCGCTGAATGTGTTGGATGTTGACCCCTTCTTTCGCAACTTTGGTCCTTCACGGGCCGCGGACTATCTCCAGCATGCGCGGCACCTACAGATCAAGGCCCCTTTTCACCTAGTCCGGTTTAATCGATGTGCATACTACAATATATTCCGTGCGGCCGGGCTGCCAAATTCACCGACTACACTGGGTTCCTCGGACGAGGCGACGGCACATGGGCAATTTCTCGACGACGTGAGGGATCAGTTGCAGCTGCTATTCACCCACTTGAAGCCGAATCGACTGAGTACATTTGAGTCCGTATAGACCGGCACCCATCCGTCGAGACCTGCGATTGACGAGCAATAGATGGCGACTAGGGACATGTGTTCCGGTAGGAGTTCTCGACCAGGAAGGCTATCTCAGTCGGTACCAGCAGCGCCTCACTCGCCTCTCACTCGTCACTGACGGGACCTGTCCTGAAACTGTGCACCATTTGGAAGGCGTGTCTAGATTTTCCTGTCTGACGATGTTTGCATGGGAAGGACTCCAACATCCGTCCGAGGTTGCTTTGCTGCGACAGTGCATCCGTCAGAACTGGTGCCACCTGGATCATCTGTGCATTGGATTTGTGCCATCTGCGTTCGCCCGTTCTCTGTGCTGGGAAAGTCTTGGGCTTCAAAAATCGGAGCTCGAGGTCAGTGGTATCGGGACCGGCCGCGCACGGAACGAGGATCTGGGGATTGGGAATTTGGCCACGCTTCCCGCTCTGTCCACGCTGTCACTGTCAAAGGTGACCCTGCCTCCGGATATCTCATCGGAGCATCATGAGATATTCTGGTCCCTGCGAGCGCTCACGCTGCGGGACTGTCCGAATCAGCTGCGTCTCGTACAACTATTGTCTCGGTCGCAAAAGCCGCTCCAGCTGACGCATTTGGAATTCTCTTTTGATTACCTGCTCCACGAATCGGGCGAGGGACGTGGCCTCTCTGCGATTGTGCGATTCTTGTGTTCGTTCCGTGGGCTGCAACATCTGCATCTGAAGTTATCCAACTTCCCGGCATCAAAATCCGACATCCAGGACGCAATCCGACACCACCAGTCTACGTTGAAAAGCCTTGTCTATCATGAGCGCCAACTCGCTCCCATCGACGCTGATGGCTTGTTTGAGGATGATCGGGATGTGTCGCCCGCATGGATCACAAACCTGTCTGCCATCGTAGACCTTGGCCAGCTGTCTGCTCTGGCGCTGTGCGCTAGTCCATCTGTGGCTGTAAGTCTTCCTCGGTCCACTTGACGTGTGCATACTAACAGAAATAGCGGCGGTGCCTTCAACCTATGGCGAAGCAATCCCAGCTTCAGATCTTACATCTGCGGTTCAGCGGCCTCGAACGAATCCACCGAGACATCCCACGAGAAATTACCACCTTTCTACATGAGATGTGCAAAGAATATTCTCGGCGTCCTCGTTCGTGGCCGGGTTCCATGAACTGGAATGCCCCCATTGATGACAACTGCGATCTCAGTTTTGATGAGTACTTTGACAGGTCACAACTCGAGTATCTAGACCCGCAGGAGGCAGTCCTTGCGTCTTCTGCAGCGATTGCAGAGGCCGAGGATTTTGTGTCATTTGCCGACTGGGCATTTGGCCCCGACGGACTGCCGGCTCTGCAGGTCCTCGCGTTTGGAGACTTTTCCCACGGTGATCGATACAGGGACCAGCAGTTTTTGATACGCCGTAACTGTTCTTCATGCGAGTGTGATGGCAAGGGTCGTGCTGGCCTTGCATGCGACGACACGATGCGGCTGCCTTTTCATGTGGCAACTATGAAGGACCCTTCCATTTGGGACGGTGCTGTGGTGGACGGAGCTCGTTTACTCTCCGCGTGCCCAGGAGGCGGGCTGATGGAGTCACCCTACGAGCTGTAGGTCTGCATTGTGTCTTTCTTATTTGGGGCAGACTGCTATGCGGCGCAACTCGTCGGATGATGAACTTCGTCAGAGAAACCAGTTGTCTTTGGTCATTATAGTGGTCAAACTTAATTTGATTTGTTTGCTCTTTAAGAACATGTCTCCAGTCCAGCTTAGCTCTGTATGACGCCGTACCCTTTAGGGGCCTTTGCGGCAGTAGTTTAGTACTATGGTTTGATGGGCCATATTGCCTGCACCAGTAGTTTGCAAAGAATCAAGCGATACAAACAATGCAGAACGCGTATCGAAAGGCTGCAGTTTATAAACTCAACGCTTCATTCTGCATCGTAGAATCCATCACTTTCTTGGTCGATACCGGTCTCCATCGAATTCTTTTCCTCGCCCACAGCTCTGGCACTTCGCTTGTAAAATCAACATCGTTTTTTCACGGCCACAATTCCCACAATCTCCTATTAAGGGGATGTCAAAATATGAGTCCAGCATTTTCTTCATAAAATTTGGCACTCGGGTAGCGATTGAATCGTACTTTGCGCGGACAGGTTTCTCTTTTAAATGAGTACGAAGACTTTCTCTCGAAAAACGAACGGCGAGCTTTTGAAGTCCGTCATTATGACTCAATGGCGAAAAGAAGACATCAGGTATCGAATCAAGGTATTCAAAGGGGTCAAAGTGACCTAGGACCCTGATGAGATATTTTTCTGCGGCTGCGTCGCAAAGCTCCGGGATACAGTATTTATCGCCCATAGCGAATACTCTTGCATGTAACTGAAGAGCCGATAAGGACAGAAGCTGCAGTGTTGTTGACTCATCTGTCGGGCTATCACCGATAGACTCTGTATAATCACCAGTGTATAGAAAGTCCACCATTTTTCTGACAACGTGTATCGATTCATCTGTCATCTGATAAGTAGATTCTGCTGATTCCTGTGTTTAAAGGCAGGTTAGGTATCAATGGGGAAGAAGCTGACGTCAGGGAGAACTTGCTTTGAAATTCCCGTTGCAAGCAGCTCGAAAAACGGGAGACTGAGAACATAGTATGATCTTATGAACGTCAAGATTGACTCCGTCACAAATAATTTTGAAATCGGTGTAATCGCCCCTCTCACGAGATCTGCGTTGTTTAGTATAGCTTTGCAACTCTGGAGGCGAACGTACTCCGAAATCTTACGAATGATGCGTTGAATGTTTGTGGATGAAGTGTTGGACATTGTTATGTTTTCAGTATTGGTTTAGAGAACAAGGTATTTGCAGACAGCTAGCCAGTTCATGGATGTTTTGGAAAATTAAATATCAGGTGATACCGTAGGCTGAATATTTAGTCAGGGTCCTGACGTAATACGGTGATTTTTCCAGTGACGTAGGTACACTCGAGCTCTTCCCTATGTGCTAACCTGCTGATAAATAAGCTTTTCTTTATCGTGACCTAACGATAGTATCGGCCTATCAAATTTGCGATTGCTGTTTGACAGATTACATGGAATGCCATTTGTAGGTTCCGAGGATGTATATTCCGAGGATGTAGGCGTGAAATGATATATGAGCTCTTTAAATGTACCTTAGCATTGCCCAAGCCTGTCCAACCGATTCGTCCAATCCACATGCAGTCATTCTCAAAATGGGCGAAACCAACACAAACTGACTAACCCCTTCCTGGGCCCTACGCTTAGGCTTTTCGCGTGGACAAAATATTCACCAAACCAAATGCACACATCGAGTAGCATTCTATTAAACGGCTGCTGATAAGAAAACTTGACCGCCAATAAATTATATGGCAGCATAAAATAGATGGCATAATACTGCGGCCCTCACCTAGATGCGGCCTGCTCACTAAAGTATTAACGCTAAATCCCTGGCAGCGGAATGGGGAAAAGTGATTATAAGAATAGCAGTACCGACGCTTTCCCACTATTTTGATTGGAGTTTTCTGAGCCACTTTGTTTCGTCCGTGGAATTGAGTGGGTTGAAGGGAATGTACCCGTTTTCTACCACCCGCGTCTTTTGCCGGTCCCAGTCATATTTGCGTTACCGGGCGTAATTGACCGACAGTACAAGGATATTCACCCATAGCAATTCATCCTCTAGTTGAGTCGACTGGTTAATGAGGACAATAAAATGCGGCGTGGTTAGTGTTATTGTGGCCCACCTGTTCTTGATTACAATCGGTTAACCCTAGAAGATAGTTTACTATACTCTGTCCGTTCAGCTCTCGATATAAAAGAGACCAGGTGCCTAAGAGACTTACGTCGTTAATCCTATCTCCATCATCTGAGTTTCGACAAGGTTCAGAGTATCGACAGTTCAATGGACCCTTCTGCAGGACGAGTGAATAAAAGGAAGCGTGAATCTTCCGATCAGATGGACAACCCAGTTGGCGTGCAAGAGTGCTCCGAACAAGCGATAGACTCTTCGAAGCGAGCGTCACCGGGCGAGACAAAGGTCAGATTCTACGTTGTCTTGTTGTGGACAGCATTAATAATAACATAGACCACTCCGATCAACGCAGCCTGCTCACTGACCAGTCATATGACACAGATCCTGCAGCACGATACCTCTTTCTTATCATCGTCCGCTGTCGAGCTGTTGGACCTCTATCTGTGTCTGTGGGACTGCTACACGATCAAGTCGGCCAGCAAAATACGCCTGGAAGAGGAACGTCGCTTCCTGCAAAGCTCACAGGAATGGCTGGTGGCGGAGAAAGAAAGGCTCCAGCAGTGCTGCAATCACCAAGTACTGCTGCTGTGGGATCGTCGTCAGGCCTTCTTCTCTGTACAACAGGGCGTTCTTGGAACATTGCATAATAGTGAGAGACAGTCGTTTCAGGTAAGTGGGATGCAATGGGGTTTGGCCGAAACAGAAGAGATGTGCTCGCTTCTTTCGACCAAGACTCGAGACATAAGGGCAAAGAGCACGGTGTGACCGGTGTGACCGGTGTGGTTCTTATGTTAAACCATGCCGGCAGGACCGACCGGTAGAAAGTTCAACGGGTGGGGCATGAGTGGAGCGGGCCTTCCCGACACCTCACCACCAATCCACATCTCCAACAGAAATTGAACCAAACAATTTGCATTTTCATCAGGAGAACACATCAATGGGTAGCATAGACTTTTCTTGGACATGGCCAAAGCCTGAGGGCCTCTCTAGCTTTCTTAACTTCATCTGTCCGATGAGCTGCTCTAGCCTAGAAAAACTTGCCATTCTGATATTTATATAGACCCAATGAAACCCCTAAGTCCTACCTCCATTCACTTTCTCCGTCAACGTGATCATGACAACAATGAAGCAGCTTAATCAAATTGGTTAGTTATATTTCTTCAGTACTCCACGTCGGCGCTGATGCTCTTTCTAGACTACGATTTGGATCTTGATCTGGAGTCAATCTGGAGAGAATTCCCCAATATGCCGACACCGCCACCTTGCCTTGCAGAAAGTCGCAGCACCGTCTCTTCAGACTCATCGCTCGACAGATGGCCGGAGCCTGCTCAACATGGGGCCGAGAAAACTTCTGTCATCGAATATGTTTTCTATCCCAGCTACGAACACTTCTCCGCCTTCAGCTGGATGGGGCCAGATCCATTATCGCCAGACACCTGCGGCGATGATATTTTCCTTTATGTATCCGCATTCTTGCTTTTGGAGCGGGTAGACTGGATAGAAATCCGGCTCAGTAAGCTCAACACTGAGACTGAAGAGGCTGTTGAGGAGTATCCGTTCTTCCTTCCACGAGTCGAGTCAATGCTGAGCAACTTACGGAGGATACGTGATCAAGTAAATGGCATCCTCTCGCAGAGTTCTACCGCGCAAAGTATGAAAAGCGCTGGACGATCATTGTTTCAATTAGCTATATGGCCCAGGGTGGAGTTCAATGCTACCATCTCGAGTTCGGTTCCGTTGTCTCGCATTCACCCCTCCATTTCTAAGCCACTTCTTGATCCACAGGTCTTTGTGCAGAACATAGTGGGAAGCTGGGAACTCTGAATGCTTTTGATCTCGTGATTGCTTGTCATAGGCGTGATATCAGGTTTTGGTGTTCAATATTTGCGTCAAGATCCTTCAGCACCAATCCAAGCTCTGCCCGTCACTTTCAACCTCTCACGTGTGATCCTGGAGGACTTCAGCCATTTTTTTGTTTCCTCTTTGTCAATCCAACAGAGTTCCTTTTTTCACCACGGTTGTCTATGTCACCGTACTAGTATGGGCTGGCATTCTTCACCGACTATCAAGATTTGGTCATCGGCTGGCGGGGTACAGGTGTACACTCCTCTGTGACAACATCTCATGCACCTTGGCATGCTCGGATCCGGTCAATAGAGAAGCCTTCATCCATGTTCTTGGTCTCCTGGTCTCTGATTCAAAGTTGGTGATTTTCGGCTCATCCGTGAACGGAAGTTGTCTTCAGTCAATGATTAGTCTGTCTTTCATCTGTCTTTTCTCTTATAAACACTTGACAGGTCCTTGAGGAGCGCAGTTAAGCCACGCTGAGATACATAAGTAGTACGATATTTGATCGCGGCTTGAGCTATCCATCAAGAATCCTACGTCGAATATCAGTTCTACTCAAAATGGAAGAGCTTCAAGATCGACTTGGCTATCACTTCAATACCACTGAGCTATTGGAAGAGGCTGTGCATCCAGCTGGAACCCGTCCCCTGCAAGGCAGCAAGCGACTGGCACTTCTTGGTGATTCCGTTCTGTCCACTTCGCTCTTGGATGAATGGTACAATAGCGAAGATACTATCGGCACGTTGCGATGTGGTCCACCAATTGTATCACTACTTCTAACTAGACGCAGAAAGCGGAAACGATATGTTGCAGTCTAATGCCTGTAACAAAAACCTGAGCTGCAAAGGTGAGGCGTCTGAGATAGACGACTTTATAAACGGGCATCCGGCACAAAAAGGCCACATCACACGGGGCACTCGTGCAACGACGGTGGAAGCCATTCTTGGCGCTGTGTGGATTGATTCGGGAATGAGCATGCATGCAGTGGATTGTGTGAAAGACAAGTTTGCTATCGACAAATGATACTGTTGAACGTCCCACGTCGCTTTGATGTTCCGTGACTTTCGAGATTTCCGGGTCAAGAGTCTCTTCGGATCGACAGGCAACAAGTGCAGAAATTGCTACCATGGTTTTTTCTTCTTCTTCATTTATGCAGTAGGCAGTCCTGGGTTGTTCCACAACCGGTGACAGGTAAAAGGGGGCGTGTTATGACATGCGGTAGTTCCATTCATGGCGTAATAGGTTTGCCAGAAGTTGCTGCAAGACGAACTGTTGTAACTCAACTGGTCTTTTTGGGAGTACCACGAGGTGAAGTTATTAGTCACGGATATATCCAGCTGTTCCTGCTCTATCAATGTACGATTAAGTTGGAAACTGCGAGAAATGTACCCGTTCGAGATGTTTCGTGCCAGGACCGAATCAGTGAACTGCGTAACACCAATATCTCCGGTACAGTTAGGTAGTTTCCAGGCAATGAGCTGAAGTGGAGCAGAAAGCATCTAAAGTCCGTCAGCGAAGCAGCAGAATGAACATTGAATCTACTACGTTGGTGGCCGGCTGAATGCCAATTTCAGAGTATTGCATAGTCGCTACGGCGGAGGCTATAGCGAAAGTGAGCTTTGCTGCTAGTATTATAGATTTCATGGTCAACAAACGAGGATACTGCGAACGACCGGGCTAGGGGACTGCCCAATTTATATCACAAAGATAATGACGTCATACTCGCATTCGATCGGTTTGAACAGGGGATCTCACTCCAGAAATAACAGTATCAGCTTTTTGCACTTGCACCAAGGCCTTGAGCCAAGAAGCGGAGGGCCAGGAAGTATGAGATTTCCTACGTGTTGGACGCGTTTGGGCCTCAAAATGCGGTTCGACCGGGTTTTCAACCGGTCGGGAACAAGCAAGCAGAGTTGAACGGTGCCGTTTGCACGTTGTGAAGACATTTTTCCTTTACTCACGTTCAAGTGAGAAGACAAGTTTACGGGTAGCCACCTTGAGCGTTTTGCTATGTTCCACAGATGCAATATGATTTGCGTGCGATGAACGGTATCGCTTGACTTGAAAACCCTTTCCATGGGCTATTATCTAACTCGCTCTATTTTCTCTCGTATATTTCATAATCCGTGCTACTTCAGGATCACCTTTTCCTGATAGCCTTCAACTCATCTCTCTGCGCATATAATTATGAATTGGTTTATTGGCACCAAATTGTGGGTGGTTGCAAAGTATGAGCATGAGGAGTTCATGATTTATGCATCCCATGTACTAATAACTTCCTGAGTAACAGACGCAAGAGATCCCTATGCTCCTCGAAATATTCCCGAAACGAAAGCAGTCCAGTTCCTGTGGGCTGTGCTAGATCTACAAAACCAAATGGAAACACCAGCCTACCCGAGCTCGGCACACTTCGCTGCCAGCTTTGCCATGGTCGGCGGTCATCCTCCTATCATATCAATCACTCAATATATCCTTCAACTTCCCCTGGAGAAGGGATCTGCTCGCGAAGGCGAACCGGCTGTGCGGCGAAGAAGGCCAGGGTCCAAGTCTCCCATGGCACCCTCCCGGTGATACATGAACTCCCGGCAGAAGACATGGTTGCCAGCGCGCTGCAAAGCCGACAATTTTGCTGATACCGTGTCAATCGAGGCAGACGAACCGGACTGGATGCTTAGTATGCTTAAGCAGCTCTAATTAAGGTGTTGCAACTATGCTATCAGGGAGCAGAATGACGCCGAGAGAAGTTTAATTTTGGTGGCTGTGATTGTAGACTATCTATATCCCTGTGCCAGTTTATTTTGTACCCATTTCGAATGGTTGTCCATTTTGACCTTTCCGGTTTGCGTATTATTTTCTATGGGAGATGAATACTGTAGCTTTCGGTTGTCCGCTGGAAATGGTCGTACTTGGGGAACAACCTTATCCTCCTCTGCTTCTAAGGCTTCTTGTGGTGAAGCCTGGCTAGCAACTGCAGTTTCGACGCTACCAGGCTCTCCGCTATCCGACGCCGGACTCATATCGGGATCGAAAATGATCAGCCGAAGATCTCTTCCAGTATGTGGTCGAACAGTCTTCATCACAGCCTCACGTATCGGCGGGCCTGCACATACTGTATAGACTGTCAGTATGGTAGCGTGTTTTTCCTTCTTTTAGCACGCGATGGTGCACGTCGAACTGGGGACACCTACCCGCCACGGCCATAGCTCCGCATCGGTTGTCAAGATGCCGTGCAACTTCGTCCTCAATCTTGATGGAGCCATAAAAGTAGCAAAGCATTGCGTTGTGCTCGTAGGAGAGTGTTTCCTCGGAACTTGATTGAGCACGTTGGCAGTAGATGCTGAATCGCAAAATCTGAAGCATGTTTAGGTCGCATCGCCAGGACGGGTAACAATAATAGATGACTCACCTTGAACGCTCTCCAGTCGCGGTTGAAAAGGTCTTGCATCCACTTGTTTACCCACTGTGGGTTTTCTAGCAAACCTTCAATCAGCAAATGTGGCTCCTTGGCCCAGGTAAACATACCATCTTTGCCAACCTGGCGCTTCCAAAGAACCTCCAGCTTGCGCACCATCACTTCGCGCTTGCGGCTGGCCTCCACCAACATCTCAATGTATGACAGTGCTCGGAAAAAGCCAATGTCCTCCACCACAAAGATGATTGTACCGTACCGGTAGAAATCAAAAGGGTGTCCGTAAGGTCCGAGTATAAGAACTGGCTGCCTGGCCGGGGATGTCAGGGCGTCATGATAAAATCTTCGCGTAAGCCCAGGTTCGGGATCGGCTACCATGCGGACCATCCGCTGAGTTGGCCCATCTTCCCAGAAAGCAACATAGAATCGAGGAAGCTGGAAGAAAGCGCGAAAGCCGGCCTGTGGCATCCAAAGCTGCACGCACTGACCAGGGCGGATCGCTCGGCTGAGAGGAAGGTCTATTTCCAGCCAGAGGAAATGGCTCACCGAGTTCATGACTACCTCGTTGCTAGAAGATCTCCAAGGCTTCTGATCCCATAGGGCTATGATGCAGACCACAGCGCTGATGAAAAACCAGAGGCAAGTGGCGCCCACCAGGTACCATCGATATAGTGACTGCCGCTCCACGAGATGGTATATCAGCGCGCCAATCCCCGTTGCTGCAAGCAGGTAGTGAGATTTCAGCGCAAATTGCAGATGTCGTCGTTGGACCGCCGCACAGGTCACCGGTACCACGAGAACGAGAGCACAACCGGCCTATATTTGATGCGATGTTAACCTGCGCAATACGCATTGGATTCCGAGATATCTGTGACTTACAACGAGTGGAACGACGTGTTGTGAGCTTGCCAAGTTCATCGTTCTGGCAATCGTAACGAGCAGCGAACAGTGTAATAGAGAGTGGATTGCACAAATGCGGCCAGCCCAGCGATGGAACCACGCGAGCATCTGGCGATCCACGTGGAGCAGATCCGCTGGAAGACCAAAGCTGATACCGGTGCACAAAGGCACAAGGTTGATGACCGCCATAGAGCCCGCCCTTTTCTGTACTTCCACCCAAGAATGGGCTCGAAGCCGGAGGCCAACAATGTTTCCCGCTAGCATGACAGCCAGGGCTAGCGCTTGCCGGTAGCTGGAGATGTCCAGCCAGCGCATGTACCTTAGCAGGTGGACGAAGGCAAAACGTCTCCAGGGAACTAGTACCTTGGAACGGAAATGGCGACGACGAAATACATGGCGTCCTGTCCACGCCCAGGACCACACATCTCGTGCTAGCCAATAGATCAAGCAGATTGCTATAATTATGGCCGCTGAAATGGCATACAAGTTGGGAAGAGAAGTCTCAGCAATCCAGTGATACCACTTGGACCCGATCGGGGCCATTCTTTTGGCTGTCAGCCTAGAGAGAGCGATCATTTGCTCTTATAGAGATGCCTGTTAATTGAATGATGTCTATTGTTCTTCTGACTATGACTTTGGGTTCGTGGCCATGCGTAATCAGAGGGTTGCGGTTTCTTGCAACAAGTTCCTGGCGGGCAAACTATGATACGCTTGGCTTTCCGCGCAATCCCTTGTCAAAATCATCCCGCAGCAAACCGATATTTGCATGTAACGTACAAAATTGAGCACCATCTCTCCGGATATCTTGTTCGGTGACAATCCATGACAACGCCATTATTCTTTCCTCTCGCGGACAATCAATTTCAAAGTTGTCGTTTCGAAATACCGCAGAGTGTGGTACAAAAAGAAAATCCGGTCAACCTGACCTGATTGAAGTAGAATGAGAAGGTTGTGATTTATCAGTCGGGTCCGAGTATTGCAGCCTTTTCTTTGCCAAATTGGACCTCAACTTGTTGTTCTGGAGTTCTTGGGCGCAATTCTTTTGCTCGAGTATCTTGATATGCTCCAGCAAAGACTGATTCTGCTCCTCCAAACTGGCGTTTTCAGATGTGAGAGCCCGTAGCACCAGAACTGCTTCTTTGTGCTCATTCTGTATTCTCGACATTTCGGCATATATGCTCATAATGATGCCCTCAACTCTTTGGGTTGGATGTTGACTGTCTAAACTGATATTAGCTAGAGCTGTCATTTTCTTTGATTCTGGCAACTTACCTTGATGAAAGTTCGAGATTGGAAAGGGGTTCTGAAACACTACTGGTCTTCTCTGTGGAGGCATTTCGGTCATTTCTAGTTGAATGTACAGCTTATCACTTCCAGTAATTAAGTGGTGGGCGTGACAGACTCAATTCTCTGCGGTCATGGCCTCTATTTAATTGTTTTGTGATGACACAGCTTGCCGACGTTCATAGTACAGCCCGGTAATATTTCGTATGACATCAGCTGCCTTGGATGGGAGGGCACTGGCTCCTGGGATCGTGGTTTTTGCTTCCAGGGCCCAGTAGGAAGTTTCTATGAGCTTTTCTCAGGTCCCAGAAAGGTTAATAGTGGGTGCGCAACGTGTCCACTACACTTTGAGTCATCAGGCATTTACAGTACAGACGCGCTCGAAGTCAGTTTCACCTCCAATTACTCTCTTCAATTCATTCTGGAACTCTATTTTGCATGACGCTATTCCATTCATAGTTGGTCTATCCCTGAAAGACTGCTAACTAAAGGTACAAAAGTAGCTATTCGTAATGGAGTTGCAGTTGCCGAGAACTTGGTTGTTTGAAAAGAAGACCAATTTGGAAAATGGGCGTCGGCACTTTGTTTCTGTCACCTAGGAGAGATAGATACATAGCGTCTACGAGGACATGGGTTGTGGTTGAGCGTCTACCCAATCTCTCCTAATTGCTTAGCCATTGGCTGCCCTGTGGGTATGAATATCCTTCTACCCATAATTTCTAAGAACTAGTATCGCTCCCAGGATGCCATTTTTTACATAAGCAGATCATTGATTTACCAACTCTTTGAGACTCCGACTTTGACCTATATGAGCACTCTGGATTTCTTGTTTTTGATAATTCAAATGTCCAGATGATAAGGGACTAATTCAATATACTATTACCATGGTACGCAAATTCGTTTTTTGGAGCAAAGCGACTAATGAAAAACAGGATATTGTGGCTCCCCTGAGGATGATATCTTGTATCCAGTGCTACAAGAACGTTAAAACTACAATGATGTATTTTGTTGAAGGAATTGCAACAGCGAACAAGACCAAAGTCGGAGAGCGTTTGCCATGGGTATTCAATGGATGGAGCCTGCCTCGATCTATTGAAGTTGATAGCATGCTGGACGAATGGTTGATATGCGGAATCAAAGTCACCTGGAACACAAATAGCAGTCAGACATTAGATGTTTGGCGGGTTTCAGATGTCAAACCGAGTGTGGATGGGGATAATGAGGTTGATCTGCACATTGGCCTCTGGGTCGAACGCGAAGTGCTTGAGCAGATGGCTCCTTCCTTGCTTGAAAGTAGGTGCTTCGAGAATATTCAAAGCATGGGAAAGCTGATTCAGTTCGAAGATCCTATTACCGATTTTAACAAACTTCCACTGTCCAAGAGAGAGGCTGGCATGAAGAGTGCTGGGCACAAGAAGAAGCAGGCCATGCAGAGTTCTAAGCCGCTACGTCGTTCGGTCAAATCAAAAAAACTTCAAGCACGTAAGTGAAATCGGTTACATAGTGGAGGAATTCTGGAGGCATGTTTAGTTCAATATTCCGATTGTACTACGGCCACTCGCTATCACTCACGTTCCATGGTAATCATGTGTTTCACTTACAGTACCAAACGTGACTCTGCCAAAGTTGCTGTGTATTAATCCTGCTTTGAATCCAGAATACATACCGCCGTAGAAACGATTTCGTCATGATACAAGTTAAACGAGACAGTATAGAACTTGTAAATAGAAAATGAATTTATGAAACAGCGCAAGTTAAAGTACTCTTATGCTAAGCCGTCTTCTCTCTGGGGCTCGAAAAGACTAGCACGGTAGATAGAGCCAGCAACATAGTTAATTCCTCAAAACCTGCTAGGCCATCATGCCAGCTGGAATTTCCTAGGGAAGGAGTAGGATCATCGACACAAAGAACGGGATGCTGTATTATCCTAATGGTTACGCTTCAGGGTGACAGGCATCGCAAGCTGGATGTCGGATCAAGCGGCATCTCTGGTAAAAGTGAAAGGGACAGTGCGTCGGTCTGAAAGAAAATGTGCGGTAGTCGGTGGGGCCACAAGAAAAAAGGGCCCCCGGGGGATGGGGGGGGGGGGGGTTGAGTGCAAGATAGAGAGGCAGATTAATAGAAAAGCCAGGAGCAGCGAAGACGAGTCTTTTATGCGGGCGGCGTTAAAGTGACGGCGTATTGAGGAGCTAAACTCGAAAAGGCAAAGCTAACTTGAAAAGGCGATTCACAGGTCCGCCGTTTACAATTCTCGTTACACACAAATTGGCCAACAAAAAAACGCATTTGTTGTGACAAAGCGTAAGAATTCATACCGAACCTATAGGAATAGAAACTGTCGTCTCCGGATCCCAATCCGGGTACTCAGAGTTAAATACCAGGCTTTTCGGTTTAGGACGACGGGAACGGTCTTCCACGGCTACCTTTATATCGCCAGAGATGGTAGCCTCAATGTATGGAATTCCGTGTCTTGCCTTCCAACAGCTATCTTTCGACATTGAATCCTTGATGTTCCACGCCATGCCAAAGCTCATGCCCGCAAATTCAAGCCTGATGAGATGCGCTGCATAAAGATCATGATCTGTGGACGCGACAAAAAGATTGAAAACTTTGACATCTAGGCACTCTCCGGATACTTTGCTTGGTCGGGCCTTTGTGCTCTTTATCTGTCTGATCAACCAAGTTTCAAGAAGCTTTTCTCCGGTAATCAGCGCTGCTGCACGCTCCCTCACGGAGAATTCAGAGGAAGCAACATAACAGTCACTGAGGCGTTTGATCTTCTCAGCGCTTTTTTCAAATCTGTGGGGAATTGCAAAAATGCACACCTCTAGCTGAGCTTGATGTGGACGCTTCTCCTTGTAGTATTCCTCTGCCTTGAAGATTCGGGTATTCAATCGAACGGTGTCTGGGCCGATGATGAGAACCTGACTTTTGTCGTGGAACCAAGGCTCAAACTGTCGCATGGTATGGTCAAAGTCTCGCAGTGGCTGTAAGAACTTTTCTTTGATACGTTGGGTGGGTGTAATACGAAGTGAAGCCAAAAGGGCGCCAACATCAGAGGCCGTCAGTTGGTTCATTATAGTGCATGCAATCTCATAATAGCCATCGTGACGAAAAAACAATGGGGTTCCTCTTTGAATCTGAGACATTGGGATAGATGGTGCAGATGCAGTGAGCTGAAGGTTGACAAGAATCAGTATACCTTCACTTCTAAGGAATCAGGGAGATCTTACCAAGAAGTGATCGTGATGATGATTTAATAGGAAAGATTGAATGAAACGGGTTTTAATTCCTGCTGTATGAGGTAGTGGGGACGCAAGCACCTTTATAAGGAATCTGACAAAGTTTGAATGAGCCCGCGGTAAGCGGTTCACTCCTGGAGGAACCATTCATGCTCCTAGGAGCCAGGGCTTGTTGAGTAGATTTTGAGCCAATCCTTTTCTAAATTTTGGTGATTCTAGAAGGTACTCGGGACCTGGGAGTGGAAAGCTGGTTCCCAGGGTTCCATTAGGTGTTCCCGGGAGATCCTGGGCTCCTGGGAACACCCGTTTTGCTCCTAGGGGCGTCCATTCGGCTCACAGACGGCTCGGTGGTTTGAAGACGACAGTTACAGATTAGAACAGTATCTTTAGACTTCTATGCATGATATCAGGCTTTGCAAATTACATCATAATTAATCCAGTTACAGGTCATCCTCAGTATAAGTTCAATTCAATACCCTCGTACTCGGACATTACCAATAAGCCAGCCAGCCATGCAGGTTTCGCCTACGGTGCATACTGCCCTGGCTACCGCACTGCTCATTGTCAGCCTCGTCCGATTTGAATTGTCTCGTCGAGCACTGTGGGGAAGCTCTTCCAATCTGGCTCTGGAACTTGCAGTGTCTGTACCGAAAGATCTCTTATTGACAGCTTATATGGGACTGAGCTGGGCTGGAACCAATGATCCACCAAGAGAGTTAGTACTAGGGATAGCTAGCATGTTTGCATTCTTACCTGTGGTAGGTGCTAGAGTATAAGGCAATTTTTCGGTTCCGACATTGACCACCAAGACAGTCTCTCCGAATGAGCATCCTGCTGCAAAGCCTCATCAGTACACCATCTCAATTGCGAATCTGTTACTCGGTATATTACGTTTTCTCGTCTTCGGTCAAGATTATATCTACGGTCGTTGGTACTTATGTTTACCCCCCACTCCAAGGTGTTGTGCTCTTTCTTCACTTTGTGGACTATTTGAGCTTGGCTTCTCTCTTATGGTGGCTGCACGGGTATACAACGACCCATTCCCAGACTCGATTACAATTACATTGTGCTTTGCTTTGCACGACCGGGTTGGCAGCGGTGCTTCTTCTCGTCGCGATCTTCGGGGTTGTCCGGAACTGCTGGTTGCTATCTCTAGAGGTAAGTTTGGCTGCGTACGAGGAAATATCACTCTTGGCTGACTTTGACAGCTACAATTATGCGTTCTGACCACCTGGATGATCATTTCATATTACATTGTGCAAAATGCTGGAAGTTCAGTCGCTGAACCATCAACTTGTTCAACAATTGTGGTAAATCGCCTAGTGTAGGACACAGTAGGTTTGATTGTCGGGCTGGATTTCTACCATTGTACATTTGATTGCCCTTCACAGCGGTAACGACTAACATCGGGGAAACTCATCCTCCGGCAAAATGGCCAAGTCGCCAACAGACCGTTCGTTCCAAACTTTGAGCACGCCGATAAGCCTTCCCCGAACTTCATCCAACGCATCATCAATAGCATGCAGGCGAGCCACTTGCTCATCCTGGCATTGCTTCAACTGGTTTCCATCGTTGCATAGCTGAATATTCCCGGTCCGCAGCTTTTCATTTTCTTCTTCGAGCTGCTGAACATCTGTATGTTTGGATACACAAGAATCCCACAAACACCGAACGTACGCCACGAGACGTGCAGCCCGACATGCAAGCTCAGAATCTTCCTCTTCGATCTGCTTCAAGACATCAAGTATGGGTCGGAAGGGCTCTACAGTCAATGTCTGCTTCTCTATGGAGTGGTTTGGGGTCTGGCTAGTCAGCGTGGCCCGTTCGGTTCATATCTTATTCTTACCGGCAGCGGGGTATCAACACCAGCAAGCAAAGTCTGGTCGGTTGAACTTGGCTGTGTGTACAGCGGTGCCTCTCTTTGTGTATCACTCATTTCTGGCGTTTTGCTGGGACTGTCCATGGCTGATACTGTTTCCTCTGTCATGGGCCCAGTGTTCCTTTATACTGTAACTTGGTTCAGTCCGCAGTAGATGGTGGGGCATCATTAGACAAATTTCACTGTGGTACGAAGTTCGCAGTCCTCAGCTTCCTCGTTTTCCTCAGCCCCCTCAGCTAATTTCCAAGCTACTTCCAACTAGCGTTCAACGTTCACTCCATGCTCAATCTATCCAGCAACTTTTTCTGGCCCTGCCGCCAAGGCTTGGTGTGGGATATCTGAGCGAGCCGCATCAAAGTGAGGCTGCAGTGTTGTGTACGACCATATAGAGCAGTGACCATTACGGTCTACGGTTCATCGGCCCAAGCGGGCAATGTTACTCCACGTAGCATAGGATTGTCCTAAAGCATTTCCCAATTACTCATTTGAGAGTCATATCAATGCAAGCAAGCAGACATAATAAAGTCATGAGCGAACACTTCCACTCTGTCTCAGATGTGCTGGGAGGAATGTGCGAAGCTAGTGTATTTACGTCTATGATATACCAATCAAAATCCTACCGTCGTTCTCTGTTGAGTGAATAGCCTTCCCTAAGCGGCACTAAAGTCGATCAGGAATGATAAAACTCTCCTAACTCTATGTAGTGATAGATACTGTAGTATTTTAACACCAACTAAAGAGAACACTTTCGGCATTCATTCAATAGTCCATTTGATGACTGACCCTACAGGATGAACTGAATTATCAAAGAGATACAGTAAAGCGACAAAACTGACTTCGAGCGCATCTACAGTTATACCATACAGGGAAAATGTATGTCCAATGTGTACTCTGAATCAGATATTTCTTTATTGATTGAGGGCTCGACCTTTCAGAGCATTTTGTGACCCGCAGAAACTATCTAGCTCCTTTTGTGTTGTTTTCCTTGCTTTACTGGAGGGCTTAGACGGTGAGGCATGGGCCGCAGACGTCGCATCCATTCCTGTCGGGTTTCCTCCGTTGCAATGGCTTTCTCGTGTTCCAGCATGTGCGAGATATCACCATGGGTACCAAAGGCGGTAAGAGATGTCCACCACGTCTCCGGCTTCAAGCATCGCTGCTGAAACTGCAGTCGAAGTGTAGGCTGGTCTCGCTGCAATGCTGATTCAGTCAGACTATTGGCACCCTTGGGCTTCCGCGATCGCTTGCTAGGACTGCGACAAAGTAGGGGCTTAGCGTCGGGCTCGTCCACCGAGTAGCGCGTTGGCTGACGAGAGATGACAGGCATAGTTGCAGATGAGATCTCTAACGTTTCGACTGGGGCTGCCGATGCTATTTATCGTCGTCATAGCCATACGTTTACTGGAAAGTGTTCCTTGTCACACTCACTTGTTGCAGTAAATACATACCCCCAAATCGTCGTTCCTCACTTAATAGCTTGCAAGATGAAACTTCGGTAGCACAGCTCAGATTTGAGCAATGTCAGAAAGTTGATTGTACGCTCTTCCGAGTTCGCTCCCATAGTGTCATGGTCATAGGGGAATTAGTGCGACAACTGTGGTTTCTACGCCATCGAATTGACAGTCGAGTCTATAGGTTACTCTGAGTCGGGCGGGATTATCTGATGGTTGGAAATGACGGTGCCAGACACAACGAGCGAGACACATCATAAAACGCTTAGTTCAATCGCTCGGTCAAAAATGAGACATGACCGGTTAATAATTAGCTTTTTTAAAGTGAGGGGTGGGTTCAAACCAGAAGCTGGAAGACCGCTGGATCTCATATATGGGCTAGAACACATAGCCATCACTGGGAAGATCCGTCTATAAAAACCCCAGCCACTCCCCAACTCGGATATCCATGGTACGTCCTCTATGTTCCGACTCCTTTGCTTTCTCTGTACTGATGAACCTATAAGCCAGTGACTCTGCTTGCGAGGGCGAGCTGAAGAAAGAAGCGAGCGAGTAACTCCAACGCGAAATGCAGAGATCCAAACCAACAAAGATGCTCGGTGTTTGGAGCGCCAGATGAGTGTCACACTCACTCTAACGCCGAATCATGTACAAAAATGAGACCAACCTGCTGCATTTTGGGAGTTGTATCAGAACTGGTGAGGTGGATTCAATGATTCTCGGCCACACTCACGTGAGATAGGAAGGATGCTATTTTGGATTCCTACGCCCAATCTCAGTAATCAGAACGATAGAAGAAGAGCAGATCGAGCTGTTCAAGAATGCGAAAGTATGCGCCCCATAATCGACGTTCGCAGGGGCGATACTGAGAGCTGTGCGCGCATGTATAGCTATGTTCAAACACACAAAGCACCTGACGATACGCCTTGTACAAAGCAACATGAGCGATGTCGATTCCTTTTTCGATTTAGAACTGAATACATTGAGCATCAACCGCAAGTTGTTGCACCGGCAATCTTCGTGCAGAGATTCCTGCGATGTGGCAGCACAGGACGCTGTGGTCTTTTGCGATCATATCTTTGAGAATGTCCTGAGTTCGTTATCAACGGCGGTCTTCTCGATCGCGCCTGTCTCTTCCCGCAGCAAAATTAAAACGGTATGGTACGTCAAGCACATGCTTCGGTTGATGCCACAGAGAGTTGTTCTGAAGCAGTCTATACCGAGAACGTTGGTCGCTACCTGGGAAGACAACAAGATAGAACTATCTCGAAATTATGGCCGACAAGTGACATATCACGTGGTTCTTCACGAGGAAAAGTGCATGGACTTGCGCTCAGAGCTTGTACATGGAAACCGAGGTAAGTTGTCAGCCATTCTGTGAGCCCAATCCAAGCATCTTACTCCCGTTTGTCTAGTCATCTGTCCAGGTGGACACGCTCCTTGTGGCTACGCTCAGCGGCTCATAGGCCAAGGCAGTAAATGGTGGAGTTCACTCACTTGGATTGTTCGTCACAATACTTTCCTATGGTCGCTGAGAACACAGTATCAGCCATCTACGGGCTTCCTCAAGCCAGTCCTTCCTGCGGGAGAGAATCCGAATGATGTGGCCGCATTACCCGTTGTTTGGATGGAAGGGCTGACCAACTCGTCTAACAAGCGGCAGAAGCGAAATTGGACACATTAGCCGAGAGGGTGGACTGCAAAAGATGAGGGCATGGTCGAACGAGACAATTCTTCAGATGGTCATTTGATGCGAATACAATCGTCGTGGTTGAGTCAACGCTGCCCAAACTTCATGGCCAGCTGACAATTTCCACCGGTCAACTGTGGTCATCACTGACCGATTGGCTCCGCTGGGATGTTTACGATTGACCGATAAGTCGTCACGAGACACAACCGCTCACGCCTGAGCTGAATATATATCAAGGGTTTGAGCCTTGTTTGACGGATCAGTCATGGTTCTCACGAGCAATGAGAAGCGCGCCTTTCTCAGACAACAGTGCCGTGAGGCACTGGCAGCCCATATATGTATGTGATGATCCTCCGCCTGTTGGGCGAAACTAATTGTCAGATGACCGACTTGGCCTAGTCGTCGCTCCCAGCCAAGTCCGTCTACAGCCATCGGCTGGGGATGGATACGCTTGGTCGGTGACGGAATCCAAGAAGAGCCTGTTGCAGTCAAATCTGGGCAGTGGAAATGTCGGCCTGTACAGATCCATTTGCGAAGAACTAGGCCGGTCCCTTGAGGCAGTTACCCCGCAGACGCTGCAGATTGCCCAGCTAGAAAGGGACAACATCCCAAGAGAAGAGGTGAGCTACGCGATCCCTATAGTTGTCTGAGGCCAACGCGATGCTGAATTTGAAAATAGTCGGGGCCAGTCCGTGGTGAAGAGGAGGATAGCGGCTCTTTCACGGCAAAGATTCGCGAGCTGGATTGCGCCAATCTGAAAATGAAGAACGAGCTCGACCATACCAACATCCGACTCCAAGAGTCCCTCTACGAGAATCGCACATTACACGCAAAAGTTTGTCGGCTTCAGGACGAGCTGGATCATAGTTCATCGCGAGCGACTCGCTTCGAAGACGAGCTGGTTCGTGTCACAAGTGGGATTACTAAGGCTATGCAGGTTTTGCAGGACCATCAAACCCAGGAGGAGAGCTGCCGACTTTGCATGGAAGCAGATTGTTGTAATTCAGAGGTATGAATTGTTTGTTTTTCAGAGGGAGACATGTGGCTAGGGATACCGCTACGCGACGAGGCTGCTTGACTGTTATTGGAGTCGCGTGTTCGTGTTATTCTCCGAGCGCTAGGCTCTGGACCAATGGATGCTGTTGAGTGGGTCTGGAGTTGAACCCCCGTTTTGGGAAATATCACTATACGCATATCGCAACACAGTGATAACCGTGCATAAACGCGTTTCTACGTGTCAAAGTGCAGTTATTGGTATTATAGCATCTATAAAAGACTTATTGAGCGCGAAGGGCCCGGCTCAATCGTGGACAGCCGAGTTCACGGGGTACGTGGTTGAAAGTTCAACTTGCAGTAACCAATATATACATCCTGGTGTCACTCTCAAAATATTTGTTGCATCAATTGTATGCCAAGTACACCTGTATCCGGAACACCCTTTCTGTCCCCACACAGATACTACAGCACTATTGCCTAGACTACCAAGGGGTTTACGATGTAATTGTGCTCGAGCTCGAAGCAATTACTAAAACATTCTGAGCGCCTAACCCATGATGGCCAACACACACGTGACATACCGCCCGCGAGCTGGAATCAAGAGATTACACGTGATTAATTCTACTTTCAACATTCCTATATGTGAAGATTATGATACGGTAATTGTCTCACATATCAAGTGGCTTACCTGAAGTCTGCGAGTCAGGATCAATGTGGGATGACTCGAAACAGACTAGTAAGTAAGGTTGCTTCACTCCCCATGTAGGGATTGCCTTGACGAAAAATCAGACCTGAAGCTTTGTAATTCCGTTGGCGGACACAAACAGGTTTTCAAGCGTCTCTACAGGGATGTTCGGGCAAAATATGCTAGGCTGAAGAGCACAGGCGACACAGAAGGCCACACGTCATATGAACTGGTTCTTCGTACGACTTCTCTTCTAGTCCAATCATTCTAGGCCCAGACCAGTCCGGAGATGGTCTACAGGTGACCGTGGGTTGCGACCGGCGGTAAAGCCGGACGCTGTTCAGTGAGGATTGATTTCATTGGATCCTCAGCTTGCTGTAGCAGCGGGTCTCTGCAGTGGCCTTTATTGGATGTCAGTATAGCAGCGCTCTGGGGACGCTAGACAGTGACCCAACAGTGAGCTAATTCTGTAGATGTCTCTATCGATAACAATCTCTAGTGTATCGATTGCGCGAGGTTATTTGCAGTGGCCAAATCTACATCCTAGTCGCACGAACACCTTTTTCTCTTGATGCTTTCCCCCTCATCCTATCCCATTTCAAGCGGGCGCTTATTACCTCCCTCTGATTGGACAAGCTTCGTCCTGGGATAAGGCATAAGATTATAAATAGAGCGTTTACACCCGCCTTTCCGTCGCGAAGATTCGACCTCTAGCACTCTTAGCACCTGCCCATACATACAGAACCAAGCAGCTTCTAATGGCAAAACAGATAGATCGAGGTGCCGAATTGTTGACTTTTACAAACTCTGCATTGAAGCGCAGTGTCGCTCTCCTTAACACGGTCAATGGATACAAAACCCGATCAAAGCCTGTACGCAAACTGAGAGAGGAACTCGAGGATCTCAATCAAGTTCTTGAAATCCTGAGCCACGCAATCAACACCAACGATAATGCAGAATTCACTGCTCTTCAAATCCCCCTCCAGCGATGTGGAAACGCCTGCCGGGGGTTCGAAGAATCAATCGTGAAATATTCCACTGAAATTTGTGACGGAGAAATGAGCGGCCAAGACTGGGCAGAACTAAGGTACATTGGCGAAGATATACATGGGTTCCGCGACATGGTAGCTGGTTACAATTCAACTATCAAAATCGCTCTCGCCGGAGTGAATCTGTAAGTCGCCTGTGCTGGTTGGACTTGTATTACTGTGTTAATGCAATCGTCTAGTCGAAAGTCTCCTGTCACAGCCAACGTCTTGGATGATTACAAAGAACTTATCGAGAACACCACCATTGACCTTAAGGCGCATTTAAAGCTCATCGATGAAAAACTCGAGGCAATTGTCGCTAAGGATACGGAAAGCTTACATTCCGAAGTTGAAGATCTACAGCCGGTGAAAGAGGAACGACTTAGCTCCAAAGCATGCCTCAAGATAGCTGCACGTTTATCATGGCTAATTGAGCAGCGTCAGCGGGAAACAAGGCATCGTGATAGCCTCATTAACTCATCAGTCTCAACATTGGGGATGATGACCGACGAAACAGTGCAAGAAATCATTAGGTACTCTGACCAAGGCCGGCGGCGGGAGGTAGAAGCTTTGTCCCAAAAATTGCAGTTGGAATACCTCAAATTTACCAACGAGGAACTATACGGTGACTCGGCGGAGAATGATGGAAGTTCTAGGAGCCATTGGCTTGTGGAAGAATCAAACCCTGATCTCATGATGTTAACGGAAAAAGCCACGGATGCAGGGAACATTTCCACCCCTTCTGATCCAATTCGTGGAGCAGGTGACTGCCAGTGTAATATATCAAAACCTCCGTCTGTTTTTTCGTTGGCAACAATGCCATCGACCACTTTCACCACCGATACTCGGCTTACTGCAGATGAGATACGCACAGCCGTTGACGAGCTTGTCTGCATATTTTCGGAGGATGCAGAAATTGATTACTTGTTCAGAGACGCAATATCGAAACGACACATAGCTTCGGATCGCCTTGACCGGAACTTTCGAAGGCTCATGAAACGTTTTGCTAGAAACTTGAAGGACGAGGCACAAGAGGCAGTTGATCTTGACCTCGCAAACCTCATTTTATCAAGGGTCAGTCTAGTCGCCGAGAAAATTGGCACCAAATTTAGGCAGGAGTCTTCTGGGCTCGACGGCTTTCCTGAAAGCTCACTACAAATGCATGGGAGAGTCGAGGTCGCATTTCGCCATGCACAAGATATTCACGATTTCAGCAGTGACGAAGAGGATGATGGGGAGGAACCTGGAATCGATGATCGATTTGCTAGGCTGGTGTCTCATGGCCGCAGCTTTATCGAAGAGAGTGCTGCTTTCCAGAAGCTGCGGGTGGAATTCAAGGACTTCCTCATGCCGACTGTCAAACCTATCATTTTAGATTTCAGTTTCGATTCAAAGGAATGGATGATAAGGTGTTTCTGGAGTCTAGAAAGTCTTTTATTCAGCATCGGGCCTCGAGAGGAAAGTGATTCGCCATATCTAATTTCTGCCCGACATTCTGCTGTGTCACCAGCTCGAGAGATAATGCTCTTTTCTGAGCCTATAACCGATATTCATTTCACAGAGCTAGCTACCTCGTGGCACTTTTCTCGATCCATCGATTGCCTGGGTTTGAGCTTTAATCTTAACAACTTGCTATGGGCAGCAAGAATATCATGGAACCCTCGAAAGCTTTTTTCCAGCTTGGGCTTGCAATATTTAAACCCCCTGCTACAACATCGAATAGTGTTGCTATGCCAACCATGTCGTCAAACTGAGCCTCATTTTGAAAGTTCAACTCATTTCACGTGGGAGTGCGCGGGAGTGGAAAGCAATGTCGATAAAAGAAAAATCAGGGGGAGAATATCCTGGGATCCAGCGGAACTTCTACGCAGTCTCTATCTGCGAGAGAGAAAAGTACCAAAGCATCACAAGCGATTTAGGTGGACGAATGCGAGTTTCAACTATCTTCCATTTCAACAAATTGCTAACGGTCCATAGCGACACGGTAAGAGGCTATATGATGATTACATTGAACATGAACCAGGTGCACTCCAAGATCTCCAGAACTACTTGGATGCAACCACCGTTCCCATGAAAACAATCACGCCTAATGAGCATGGCCAGAGCCCCTCCCGTGCGGCCTGTCTCTACACACCAAATACCCAATGCACACAATCTACATCTCCATTAACAACTGTTGATATCGCCGACCAGCCTGTAACCAACCCCGCCAATTCTGAGACAAGCGATGTATTGCATTACATTGAACAATCAACGAAGCCTAGCCGCTCACTACTCCTCCTCGCCTGCATAAAACGCCACGGTCGACCCGTAAAACTCCACCAAGAATTTGTCACGCACATCGCCGACGATCGCCAACTCTTCCACGCATTACGCAAAATATATTTTGACCACCGACAGAGGCTTGAATCTTTCTGGTCTCTGAGGACGTTGCACAGTATCCATTTCATGAAAGTGTGTATTTCTATGTAACCATGCTTTGGGTATCAAAGCTGGGACATAACATCCCTGCTAATTTCTCCGCAGTTCATCTACGCCGGCAACTCATATATCGACGTCCGCTGCCATGCCGAAATTTGCACCCCCAATAACCCCTGCGCCTGTATCCCGCCCCCCAACCTTGTCCCACCCCTCGGCGCATCGTATCAATGTCGTCCTATCCCTCCAAGACAATCTCCGCCAGTCGGACCAGAATTAATGATGGACTTTTTCAATGATCCGAACAGCCGAGCCCCCGGTAGTGACCTAGTCATACAGCAATTACCGAAGAAAATGGACTCTGAGCTAAAATCGGATGGAACTGAAGTGATGACAGCGTGGGGAATATTCTATCGTGAGAGCTTAGATTGGAAACGTATTTGGGGAGTTCTTGGGTTAGCGTTTTTCCTACCGAGCCTTTTGTATGGGATCTTGTGGGGAATTCTGAGGAAGGATATACAAGGGGCTTTCGGAGTGGCGGCCTGGTGGATGACAGGAGCGACAATCGTGATAGGGATGATGGGAACTCTTATGTAGCTAGACGGTGGAAGGGTGTTTGAGGGCTTCGGTGCATTCCCTGTGTGAAATGATGTTAAGGTAAACTCCAGCCGGACATTCGATATATTCAGAAAAGTTATATCAGCACCCGAAATAAAGGGTAATAATAGACAGACTTCCTGACGTCCCCCGGGATCAGTTGGCCCAAATAGCTTACGGTATCACCTGACATTCGATCCCTGGCACTCAGAGGCGACTAGTTGAAAATGCCAAGCTATTTAGCCATTATTTGACTTCTGTCACAATACTTCCTCATTAAAGAATAGCCTGAACAGGTTAAATTTGTTAAAACCGCAACGGCAATAAACACGACAGTGGCATTATCGCTACAAACTTCAAGAGCAGGACAAAAGCTGAGGGATAAACTAGTGCGATAACGTTAAACTAGGGGAAAAGTGAGGACCTAGAGAGAACCTCCTACTGCACAGACCGCAACCACCAGGCTTGGCAAGAAATCGTGGATTCGACGGTGAAATATGGCACGCTTTTATTATGCTACTTTGAGTCTTTTTGAGCATTGACGGTCAATTATGAACTTGAAGAGCGCGATCGACGACGAACAGCAGTACAGTGCAGTAATATATTCTTCAAAGAACCCATACATGAAACATTAATTGAATAAAGGGATCTTTTTATCATATGCGGATCATACACCCGAAGACCTATATGCACCACAGTTCAACTACATTTCCAACAATAGAGAGGCATTCTGAGGAGGAAAATCGAACGCACTACCGATTCACATGACCAAGCGACTCTCATTCCGTAGGAGTCTCACCAGGGGGTTCGGCAGGAGGTTTGTTGGCAAACCTTTTCTTTGTTTTCTTTTTGCCACCCTTTGTGGGAATAGGAGCTGCTAACAGCTGCTCCGGCTCTGTGGTATGCTCCAGAGCATACCCATCTTTGGCAGGTTGCTCTGGTAGGTCCGGGCTGGGTGATCTGGACAGTGCGTCAATTGATTCAGAGTCAATCGCGTCAGCTTCTTCATGTAGCTCAACCGAGCTACAAGAGCTAGAGGACAATCTAGCCCGATTTTGTTGTACGCTAGCCTGCAAGTCATTGTTCAACTCTATAGACCTGGTCAGTACGTACACGAACGTAAGCTGAATTCGCTTACCAATGCCTCTGATACCAACGAAACGCTTGCACGTATCTGAACCTTTCGTTAAGATCCACAATTTCTTGTTCAATTGATCCCGGAGGCTCTGGCTCTCCTCGGATTCACCCGCTATTTGACAGACCAAGTCTTTGGGCATCTCGAATGCAATGGTAGGCGTAAAAAGCGTTGGCAGTGCACTGAGAAGCTTGACTTCGATTACTTCGGTCGCAATGTCATCAACAAAACGCTTGAGGGCAACCTATCTCGGCATCGCACAAATTAATCAGAGGATGGAAAAATAAGGTGGGCTGGCAGGACATACCATACCTTGTAGTAGGAGAGCATGCAGTCAAGTGCCTCCTCGGACGCAAAACGTGTCATGTCTGGTATAGTAGTCTGAAGGAGAGAGTTGAAAAGTCCTTGAAGATCGATGGCATGCAGCGCAGGTTCAGAGGTTGAAAGAGTATCAACACCAAAGTATGATTGAAGAGCTTTGCGGAAGGATTCTTTTTGGCGATCAATGCGAGTCTTTTGGAGTGTTTCAGTGAAGTAATGGTTGTAGGTGATGGGATGGCCTCCTTGATGCGGCATAAGGAGCTCTTCGCTTCCATTCTCCAAAGCACGTCGTAAATCCCCCAGAGCTGGCAAAATCACCTGTTTGAACAAGGTCTTTGAAGTGGCTTCATCTGCCACATAGGAAACTGCATGTTGAAGGAATTCTCGTGCAGCCGTCCAAGCCGCTGTAATATGGCTGTGCGTTATGTCTGCCCACGGGCCGCATTGTTCTTGAAATAGATCCTTAACTATCAAAGGGTTAAAGGTACCAGGTAACTCCCGACCCCTTGTCCTTTTGAGGAGCGTTTCGATATGCTGAACATATTCCTTTCTTGTTAGACATACTTGACTTTTGGAAACCAATCTCTGATCTTCACTTCCAAGGACATGGTGGAAATGGCCACGGCGAGAGATCTTTTCCGTGAATTGCTGATTCAGATTTTGAATCACTGCTCGGATGCGCTTCTGGTACCCATCTTTTGTCTTCGCATCTCCGAAAAAAGGCTCGCTGTAAGTGCCGTCCACGGCTGCTTTGGCCAGAGACTGGAATGCTTGACTGATATGCAAAAGATACGACCGTTGTTCATCTAGTGTTGCGCGAGGGTCGCCAAGCTTTTGGAGCTGCGACCGACAAGAATTGATCTTTGAATTTATCTCGTTGATCAGGCTTGGAAGTTCACTTGCAATTTGACCGAGAAGCAGACTGCTCAGACGATTTCGCAATGAGTCCACGCCCACAAGTGATCGAGGCAGGTCTTCCCAGATGCCTTGGGAGAAAAAGTTCCATTCCTGAATGTTCCGGTCGGATAAGCTGCACTGGCCTTTCTCTGAATCCATATTCCTCAACACGTGCCATCCTAGACGGAACTCCACGTCTTGGTTCTTAGCGAGCGATACAAATGAAGCCTCACTCTCGGATCCTGGGACCAGCGTATCTGGCTTGGAGATGACACCTAATGTGCGGTCACCGGATGGATCAGCGTCCCGCGCTAAACGGAGGACGATCTGGTTTGCAAAATCATTCTTGGCGGAGACAACAGCAAGGATGACGCTTCGTGATTCTCTCATGTATGACTGAACCACGTCTTGGACTAGTTGTACATCGGCCGCCGACTGCTGTCGTGTTTCCGAGTGGATCAGACCCGGAAGATCCACAATTGTGAGATGTGGTCGGTCAGGTCCCGAAACCTCAACACGCAGAAGGTCATTTGAAAATGCTTTTCCGTGAGTTGATATCCCCATTGCTGCTTTTGCATTCTCTATCAAGTTCGCAAGCCCATCGAATCCGTCGAGTTGTTCACAAAAGCTGCCAAGAGAATGCTGCTCTGCGTCGCTGCGCGATTGGTGAGGAACAATGGAAACCCGAACTCCCACTTGCGAGTTCTTTCGAAGAACCAATTCAGTTGGGAACCTAGTACACAAACTGCTTTTCACTGGAAAAGAAACGCCGGAAATTGCCTCGAGAACGGAGCTCTTCCCGGAAGATTGGTCCCCGCATACGATTATTTGCGGAAGCGAGACGTAGTGGCTGATGCCTTGTGATCGGAGAGTATCGATGGAATCCAAAAGGTCCAGCTGCTCTTGAGTACACAAGCCATCAAGAGCATCTGTTGTGAAGTTTGTCAGAGTCATGTTTCATTTGAATTTGGAGATAATTTGGAACGAAATACATGCACAACGTTAACTACGGCGCGCAAACCCACATATTTATAGTCCAGAGAACATCCAGCTTTACAACTGCCTCTTTCACCCAAAATTCCTTGTCCTGCGGATATTTCTGTACTGCAGTTACAGTGACGCGCCACATTTCAAAACGCATACCTCTAATCCAAGTTCCAATATTCCCTCACCAATCGACCATTTTGGTCGTATTTCCCATTCTTTGGCGTACTTCATCCTTCATCGTCCTCAAGTTAGCGTAGGCTAACGTCAACCTCAGCAACTTGGAGAGATGCGCTAACCGTTTTCATCCAAATCAAGTATGAGGCTGCAACCTCGTTGCCGTAATTTCTATTGAAAAATGTTGCCTATTAGACCTATATTTACGAAGAGATAGGAACCACCGGGGGGAGGTATAGGTGCGATGACACCCTGTGGCTTTGGGCGAAATGGCCATCTCAGTTCGGCAAGCACCGCGAGAAGGCGATTCTCTAGGCAAAGGGGCCGGTAGCAGAACTTTAGACACTGATAATTCCTACGTATGTAATGGTGAATGCAAAAACCACAAACAAAAACTGGCTTCCTTTTCGCTAAGTTTAAATATTGGCCTCTGTATTTCGGTTGTAGAAGTCTCGAGAATATTACGACCGGTGATTGGATCAATGTCCATGTGACACTCTGTGTACCGATTTCAGTAAAAAAGTTTACGGTATGTGATTGGCGAGTGGTCCTTGCTAGTCCTGCCTGACTCCCTAGTCGCGCTCCACTCCCCAGCCGTTGCTGGGCTAGCTCATTTGCGCGGTCGCCCATAAGATCCAGCTATAAAGCGCCTTGTTTTCTAGGGCACGACATGATTTATGGCTTTCTCATGCTGGTGCTATCCACTGGTCCCTTTCCGTCATGAAGTTTGCGGCGTTTGATTGGACTCCCTAGTCCTGCTGGACAGTTTAGCCTTGCTGGACCCCCCAATCTTACTGGACTCCTGGGATGGTCTAGAGGTGACCATATGGGTTGCGGCCGGCGGTTTAGCCGGACGCTGTTCAGTGAGGATTGATTTCATTGGATCCTCAGCTTGCTGTAGCAGCGGGTCTTTGCAGTGGCTTTTATTGGATGTCAGTATAGCAGCGCTCTGGGGTCGCTAGACAGTGACCCAACAGTGACCTAGTCTGAAGGGCCACCATAAAGGCCACATTGACTTATTGAGTTCAAATAGACACACTGAGGACCCTGAACCGTGGATGACCGCAGAGCAATGGAACCCCCTCTCCTATATAACACTATGGAAATTCGTTTATCTGCTTTCCTACATTTGGGTGAACAAACTTCTCGCCCAAGATGTGCACTCAAGTATCACAGGCAAGCCTTTATATTATCAAATTAATTTCTTATCTCTAAATATTGCGAAGGATCTTGCAATCTGGTGGCATTCATATTCTCGTTGGGAAAGAGAAAAAGCAGTTCTCGATCCATAGAGCTTTAGAGGGTTCTTTCCCGGACAGTGTCCTTCAGCCGTCTATGATTGAGGATGTTGACGATGTTGTCTTTGCTTGTTGCTGTGAGTTCGTGTACTCTGGCGATTATTCTATTCCATCCCCCACTTCAAACCTTCTGGGAAGTGATGCTGGGCAACCTCGCACTGAAGAAGCATCTTCTCTGCGAAATTTGGGACGATGGGATCCTTAGAATCTGATTCACAACATCTTCCACCCAAGGAAGCTTCCTCGTGTCTATAGGCACCTGCTGGAAAAGCTTGACCAGGCTCCACGAGCGGAGGTCGCTGAAAACTCGGCCATTGATCGTCGACATAGTTATGCGAATGTGTTTATGCGCCACGCTGAAATAAACCGTTTCGCTTACAATACAGACTGGACCTCGCTGCGTGTTTTGTCAATACACCGGCTGATTCAATCTCTCGAACACTTCAAACTATCCAAAGACCGGACTAGGGAAATCGTAGGGCTTTTGAAATCTTGTTTCGAGGACAGGGAGCACATAGAGGATTTGCAAGACGTGCTGCGAGACTATGTCGTGTGGAATGTGGAAGTTATGATGCAAGATACCGATTTCTCAAAGCTATTGGAAAGAGTTCCGTCTTTACAAAAGGCTGTTTTTCGTTCAATGTGGAAATAAAGGCTAGATCAAGAGCAATCAAAGCTGACATCTCAAGTGACAAAGCAAGATGAGAGCCACCCGCTGATGACGAATGGATGCCTACCCTTCCTTCACTGTATCAAGAACCGACGATTGCAGCATTAGAATCGTAGCAACAAGAAGACAATCCAATTTATATTTCCATAATCCCTTTGAGATCGATTGATACGTCCGGGATCAGCTGAACAAATATTTGCGATGATCGAATCGATAAATTACAGCTGGCTGGCTTTCATTCATGTCCTCATATCTCCGTCGCAATGAATAGCACCAAATTTAAGTTCAATCATGCATGCAGATGTCACCATGGAAAACGTTCTCCAATGATGATCCCGTGAAATCTTGAAGATCCAAGCCCTCGAGAGGATCTTTCAGTATCGCGAATAATGATGCGAAGGATGCGTCGGGGCAATCGTGGAAATCGCTGGACCTATAACTCGAATAACTTGTGTTCGAGCCATACCACCGTGGGGATCTGAAGGCCAGTATAGTTTTCACCAGACCATTGTAATTCAAATTCAAGAAGGGAGCCTTGGGCTTTGGTGAAAGCAGATTACTAGACTGCATCTGCATAGTTAGAGTCCCATACATGAACGAGCGACACTCAAAACAACAGCCCCGAGTACCATCTAAGAAGGCACCCCGTGTTTCATGAAGGGTAATTACCAAGTTGTGGATGGCATTCTCCCTACATTTGTTTATTGAAACTACCATTCAGTTAGAGATGAAGTGCTTTCAGAAATGGACCGCTCTTACCAATGACATTTGCAGGAATCGGAAGTCCAAAGCTAACAACCCAGCCGTCACTTTGTGACATCGTAATCAAAGTTGATCTTTTGAACTGAGAGTGAAGTTGAAAAAACCAGGCAATCCATAGCCATAAAATCAAATCTCGAGAAACTGTCGGAGGAATGCTCTCCTCCAGATTATCGATCCAAATATCTTTCATGATAAATAAAGCCGTCTTGCATTCATAGTAGTCTGCTATCACAGCAACCTTGGCGAGCATCTCGAGGGTCAGCTTCCGCGGTATATAGTAGTATTGACCATGAATAGCACGGAGTAAAATCAAAAATGCTTCAGTATCCCAGCTTTCTGTAGTGATTTCCACTGAGCCCTTCTGCAAGTAAGTAATGTTTTCTTTCCAACCCCCAGTCAATATTTTCTTGAAAACCGAGGAGGCAAAAATTAAATGCTTCGCAGATACTTGAATGCGGACGTGATTCAGTGTGCCAAATTCAGCAACGGACTCTTCAGCAGCAGATCCTTCAGCAGCAGATTCTTTGACAGCAGGCTCATCGGCAGCGGATTCTTCGACAGCAGGCTCTTCAGCAGTAGGCTCATCGGCAGCGGATGCTTCGACAGCAGGCTCTTCAGCAGTAGGCTCATCGGCAGCGGATGCTTCGACAGCAGGTTCTTCGGCAGCATATTCCTCAAGAGTGGCCTGAGCCGCTCTATATTCCCTCTCCTTCTTCCTCTTCTTCCTCTTCTCCTTACTATTCCTTGCTTTCTCTTCGGGAGGCGGCTGTTCGGGCAGTTCGAAACGGAAAGTCGAAAAGTTGAACAATGTCACAGTGCTTCGGAGACCATTACGTATCTCCAGTGGTATGTCAGAGGCTTTACCAGTAGCGGTACTTTCAAAAGGTTGTGCAAACGGACAGTCTGCATTGCGCAGTATTATGATCACCTCACCATCTGGATCTATGATTTGATTGGGTGGGTTCATGGTGATTTTTGGATTTAGTCGAAGCCAAAGTATCTGTGTCACACTTGGGAATGGGGCAAAGCGGGCTGCTAATACTGAAGCACAGCGTTGGTCGCTGAAGGGGATATCAGTATTGAATAACATGAGGGGCAACAGACTAGACCAGGGGCGGATCAGGCAGATCTCTGCCCAACCCTTCTAATGGGAACTAGACTTATCACTTATCGTTGATTGGGCAGGGCTAGCGAAAGCCGAGGCCGCCCATTTAATGCTCATGCAAGATACTGCCCACATTCACCCACATTCAAAGCACAGGCCGCACTCTGAGAAAGAAATACTATTCCACCAGAAAGCGCCAAGGTCTGTAAAAAAGCAACTGCAAGATGCAGAAAGGCTTTGACGCTCTACCAGTCCGAACGTTTCTCTCTCTAGCATCTATTATATTTGCGTAGGTTCTTCCAAAATTCCACGCTTCTAATTTTGGTACCTTGTAAATTGACTGATGGGTTGTTGAGAAGGGTTTGGAAACGCTGACAGCTCTGGAGACTGAAAGGGAGTATAACGGTTTGCATTCCCTGTGTGAAATGATGTCAAGGTAGACTCTAGCCGTATCTTTGCGAAATGCCACAATTATCTTGGCAGATCTTCCGTTGAAAAGAAATACGTGAGCATTATAGCACCAACGGGTCGAGATGCCCTGATGACAAGGCAATGCATGTGCTGGCAGGTGCATTAGGGGATTTCAAGTCCCACTCCGAAGTCAGGAACGTCATCATTGACCAGGGGTACCCCTAGGTGCGATATCTTTAACCGTAGTGGTCTCCGCAGTAGGCTCTTATTCGACCACACTGGGAAAAGCGAGATGCTCTACCGATGTAAACGTGGCTTATAGATGGCAGTTCTCAGCCAGACAGCCTCGCTGTCCCAGTGAGGATTGATTTTATTGGCTTACCAGCTTGCTGTAGGAGCGGGTCTCTGCAGTGGCTTTCATTGGGCGACAATATAACAGCGCTGCGGACGCTAGACCGTGACTGAAAGCAGAGCTAGGGCCTAGCCGGTCACTATAAAGAGCCACGAAAATTCTCTTCTGTAAAAAGAATATCGAAAATCTGTGCTTTCTCTGCCATCCTAATAATGAAGTGAACAATATCGCCGCCTTAGGCAGACATCTTTCTATCAAATAACCTTTACATAATGCGGCTTGCATATCATAATTAAGTTTGCCCCCTTTTAGATAAAGATTGTCCCAATCCCTAACAATTGCGCAGAGTCCTGCAATCTGATGTTGTTCATTTTTCCGTTGGTAAAAATCAAAAGTAGTTCTCAATTCACCAGAGTTCTTTTCCAAGAAAGGCCCTCGAGCCAGCGATGATCGAGAGTATTGATGAGGAAGTTTTTGGTCGTTGCTGTGAGTTTGTATACTCTGGGGATTACTCAGCTCCATGTCCCGTTCGGCAATCTCCCGGGAACGATACTTCGCAGTCAGAAAACAGGGAAACGCAATGCCAGGAAAAGGCGAACAGATGGGATTCTTCTAGCCTAACTTGGGATCTCTTCCACCAAAACGTGCTTTCGCTTAATTATGATATCGTGCTGGCACATCTTGGCCATACACCACGATCAGGATCTGAGAAGGGCTTACGCAATGAACCTTTCACGAGCTATGCAGCAGTTTTTCTGAGTCACGCTGGAATCCATCGTTTTGGAGTCAGAACAGGCTGGCTCTCTCTTAGTGTCCTATCTTTCTATCAGTTACTACGATTGCTTGAGAATACTACTTTATTTGAAGAACGGACGGGAGACATCGTTCAGCTATTGGTATTTGTTTTTGAGGATAGTCAGTACATGGGGAATTTGGAAACTATGCTACGAGACTACATGGTCTGGAATGTGGAGATTTTGATGCGGAATGCCGACTTCAAAAGTTTCCTCGGGCGAAATTTGTCGTTAGAACAGACTGTCTTTCGTTCAATGTGGGAATAAAGGTGAGTTTTTAAATTGAATGTGCTGCGATCTGTATGCCATCTTCCGTATATGTGGAGATCAGATTAAAATCGCTGACTAAATGTGCGCTAATGCAGTCATAACTAGCCAATGGTTTTAGTGTCAGCCCGAAAGGCGCAAGCCCTCAAAGAACCCGCAGTCAACTGTCCCTGTTTTACGCGAAGGAGCAAATATGTCAAATGCAAATAAAAGCTACCATTTATCAGCTCGCAATACACAAGATGTACACATATTTTTGGGGCGAAAGAGCCGAGAACTGGTAAAAATAAGCAGAAAATGGTCCCATACATTTTTCGTGCATCGCTCAGTATGTAGTTCCATATCAGACTCCGAGGCTACACAGTACTCCACAGATCGTGCACTCACATCACATATCGTGTATGGATCGAGTCAATCTTGAGAAGCCTGGATTATATCTTTTTTTATATAAGTCTATCGAATTTGGACCAAGAGAGTGAGCATTACCACCTCATCAGCAAGAAACCAAACACCATGAGCATCCAGTTATTGTACGTAATGTATGCATCACTACCATGGCGCTGAAGCTGCATGACTCGGTAATATTCACGCCAGACATTGCACTCTACTATCTTCATGTGCCCTCTTCTGACAAGTTTCATGATATTCCCAAGGGAGGTAAAGCGCTGAGTCCAGATCTCGGTGGCCCGAACAAATAAAGTAGAACCAAGGACCAAAAGTTTTCAACGCAAATCGTATAGAAAGCTCTAGAGGGTATTTTTGCTGACATACGCTGCCAACTGCTCATTTTCCCGCTGCTCGTGCTCGTCCTCCTCGCGCGCGGGATTCGTATGGAAATTCTCTGGTCTATATTCTCACTGGATACGGCAAATGTGATTCCATTCAAAATTGGAAGTAAACGGATACCGAGTCAATGGCTTTATTGATTCATCGCCAGCCTGTTCTGGTTTTTGAAGTCCCTGCATCGGGTTCGGGCATCGCCAGCGACTTCGCACGCGATGCACATCAGAAGCATGACGCTGGAACGCCATCCGATGTAGCAAGCCTACTTCACACCAGTTGCATTTCAGTGGTTCTTCTTTAAGATGAATAGCATCAAAGTGGCGCGTAACACACCCGGGATCATGAAACATCTGAAAGCGAACCTTGTCCGGCAGCCCTTCACTTGCGAAGCATTGAAAGCATGCCTCTGGCTGCTTAGCAGTTTCAAGGTACTCCCTGGTGGCACGTAACGGCTTGCCACATACAGGGGCAGGTAACCTTCGGCTGAGCTATCGGTCCAGTCGGCGAAGCGATTTCAGGAGCTTTCTGTTTAGGCCGACCCCTTAATGGGCCTCCTTCAAGGACATCATAATACTGGACAACCGCTGCAGCACCCGTATCGCGTCGATGCCACTCATCCTCCAACGAGTTAGAAACAGGGTAGGAAAGAAGACTCTGCACGAGATGCAACTGAAGGGGGTGCATAGTGTCCTCCAGGGGTGAGTCTTCGCTCTCTTCCTTGACTGCGGTACCCGACAGCTGCGCCTCGATATCCAAAAAGGCTTGCTCTTCATCAAATTTCTCTCGGATCTCATGCCGTAAGCTCCGGTGCAACCTTTTTCGCGTATTTCTCACCCCCTTCTCCCGTTGCTGGAGTCTAGGAAGCAGGCCGGGTTCCTGGGTCTCCTCGTACTGCGCGCGGATATTGTCTAGGTTGCGCCGTGCCTCTTCCAACTCAGGATGTTCTTCAACCTGTGCCCTTTGTTGTTTGGTCAAGTAGCGCGGGCGTCGCGTGTCTCGCCAACGGCTTTGCCGCATGACAGCTCGCATCAGTTCCACATCCGGGTCAAGGCCACAGATCACCCGGATCATGTCAGTGTCGATTTGCAGGGGATGATAGTGGTTGACAAAGGTGCGGGGGCTGGCATGCTTCATGATCAACATATGTTGCTCCTTGCTCACCCACCCTGCGGACTACATCAGCCACCAACTTGACAGGACAGATCAAATTCACAATATCCGCGGAAGAACTCACCACTCTCATTGATCACTTTACCACTTCCATACCGGAACTGATGGGCGTGAAATGCCCCTTTCCACCCACGTATCTCGCCAAATGCGACCAGCAAGGTGGAAATCGCAGACTTGGGCATCTGTGTAGTTCGTCGAATGGTTGGAACGCCCTTGACCAACTCCGTTTTGCAAAAGATATACCAGTCAGACTTTTTCGGATCTAAAGGCACCAGGAGCTGCTCACAGCCTTTGCTGATGGAAAGTTTCCGCAGCTGAGCCTTCGAAGTCAGCCCCTGATTCCGGAACGCCCGCGCGTGAAACAAGATGCCAAAAAGCAACGTGTGCGGGCATATCACCAAAGACGGCCCGTAAACGATTTCGGGAAGTGCAAAAGTAGTTCTGCTGATAGGTTAGCTGCATCACCGTAGTCAGCCATTCCAGAGATGACAAGAAGGAACTCAAGATATATTATATATCCGGAGGTGAACGGGAAATTGAGAGGATAGACAGAAATTGCGCTTGCCGTACAATTTGGTGAGACCGAGAAACTTTTTAGTTTCTTCGGGAGTAAGTTCGATCATAGGGACGGATGGGCCTCCACGGGGATCCTTCTGTAGGGAGATCTGCAGGTCCTTGAACTGCAGACTCAACAGAGCGCTTTTCCGGTGCAGCGTAAAGATACCGAGAGAGTTAAACAGACACACTTGGATACGTTGAAAGCCTAGATGGAATTTTTTCTCCTGTGTCGATAAGATCGTTTCATTAAACGGGCCGATATCCTCGATATAAACCGGCGTCTTCTTTCCAGGCTGCGTGTCCAAGCCAAACTCCTGGACCAAGGACTTGAGGTATATGGTGATATCTAGCAGTAGCCGTAATTATTCTGATAGTTCCTCTTTGAATATGGACTGGGCTCGTTCCGCCTCGACTGCTTGACTGTCGAGCCTCGCGAGAATTCGGAGATATTTCTATCTTAGAATTAGACAGGGCTTAAAAGAGGGCTTTGTAACCCACCGAGGAATCCATTGTATCAAATTAAAGACCGTTACTAAGGAACCGGCAGATGCATTTGACGCAAGGAGCTTGCTCAAGCAACAGAGGATTTGTGCTTGTATTTATAGCTCTGTCAGTAGTCAGTCTCCAGAAAGTCTTGGAGCTTCAATATACGTATCTCCGGAGGGCCTTGGAAGGTTCGTTTAACTGTTGACCATCCTACGGTTAACCGGCCCAATCATGAATCGTTGAAGAGAGCCCAAGAATTGCAATGGCCACTGCAAACCCACCGAATTCCTTATGCGTTACACCAGACGAAATCTCGGCTTTGGAATAGAGAAGGTTAGTCTGGTAGCATGCATTGCAATACAATACCACAACTTGACTGAGAAGCCATAATGCAATCACACTGACAGCACCCCCTCGGCTGATAGCGTGTAGTTAATGTCGGCTTAGAGAATAAACGAATCGCGGCTTCAGACGCGATAGAAAGAAAAGTAAAAGCTAAGCCCGTTAGGGAAGGTCAACTGGGCCAGTGTCGCGCGGGCCACACGGCCGAGACTGAGCCGAGTCGCCTATTCCGGTACCTGGAATCTAATCACCTCATAACCGAAATTAAGCGACAGGGGTAGTCGATGGTAGCCTACAATACCTTCTTGATATCTGGTTGAGTGGCGGCACTATTGAGTGGCGATCGATTGAGGGTGGGGCAGTATATGAAGTCCCACGAATCAAGACTTTCGGCGCCGCCCCGACTTATATCCACTGATCGCCCAAACCTGTCTTTTTACGAACGTGGATCTGCGCGACTACTGCTGCCGCAAATTTCTTATGGCGTTTTATCATACTGTCCATCGGATTTCATTAGCACAGTATGTTGATACGGAATACTGGCTTGAAAAAAAAACGAACATCTCGTTACCTTCGGTTCCTGCGCGGCACCGTATGCGTGAGCTGATAGCGCGCTTCGAGCAATCAATAGCGACGAATAGACCCGGGGTATACCGTCCTGGAACTGGCCTCATTCGATTTGGTAAACCCACTTCATGGCGCATTAGGATTTTGCCCATGTTTCAAATTGTCTCGAGTTCCCGTGGCTCAACTTGACCCCGAGACCGCCAACGGATTGATCCGCCAATGCGACATCGGGTGGAATACTAAATATGCAACCGACAAGGCAACATAAACAGAATACGAAACAATACGAGTGAACTACTTGGGGAACTTGCACGGGCCTGGAAAGTTTCAACCGTTCAAGCGGGCATGGGGTCAGTATTCGAAGATATTGTTATGGAGGATGTGAATGGGCGCTACATGCTGGTTCGTAGATGAAGAGCTTCGTGTCAAATGGTCAAAGTCTAACCATAGAATTCTAGTTGACAGAACAAGATCACCGTTAAGGTACTGTACCTTCTGGTCAACCGGTGGTTATCAGTCCCTCTGGAGAACGAGACAAAAAAGCGAACGGTCATCGCCGCACAAATGCAACCATATCTTGAAATTGCAGGATAACCGTTATTGCGGGCCGGTTGTCTCGACATGCACCAATGACTGGGCATTTGAACGGTCAATGTCACAATGCTGCGGCCCACATTGAACGGCTTTGTTATACATCGTTCAGAACTGTTTAGGCTACTGACTAGTACGCTGGATACCTATAAAAGTCCACATTGCCTCCCCGAACGGTCGAACCTGAAAAATCGACAATCCTCCCTGCGAGAGAATCTATCTTAGAGTATTGACTTTCAATATGCCTTCCCGCAGAACCGCGGCCCAAGCCACCGCCAGTACTGGTCAAGGTCGCTCCAAGTCAATTACCGCTGCGAAGCACACTCAACACTCTTCTATCGCTGGTCATGATGGTTCTCTATCAGATACTCAAGATGTAGACCTTTACACACCATTGGTACGTTCTGTCATCACTGTTTCCTGAAAGCAAGTATACTCAACGCAATGAATGATCTAGATTTCCTCGCCAATAGCAAAGACTGCGAAACAAAGGCACTGGAGGATTGTTCATCGACGATGCTTGAAAGGGTTCAAGGAAGCCGATCAAGACCGAGACCAGCTCACACGATCCATACAGCAACTAGAGGAGGACAACGCCCAAGCCCAAGCAGCAATTCGCCAGCTGAGTGACACCAATAACCAGAATCTGGCCAAGGTTCAAACGCTCGAGTTCGAAATATCCACTCTGAAACAGCAACTCGAGTTTGCACAAGCTTGTTGTACGACCGGCGATAATCTGTTACCCATACTATTGGAGGTCAGCGGCAATTTCCAACAAGCGCAGAACCAGCTCGAGAAGAAGATAGAGAAGGAGAGAAATGCTGAGAAAAATAAGTCTGCATTTGCTGGATTGTCTGATTCTGATGTGCTACGAGGCTCATGGACAGCTCATAACGGGCAGGTGGCCTCGTTTGGTACCAACCCGCTCCCAAACTATCCACTGTCGAATACCCTTACGTCGGTCAATCAACAAGCGCCGGTCCAGTTCTGTCAGCCGCCTCTTCAGCAAGCGCCGGTCCAATTCAATCAGCAACCTCTCCAGCAAGCCAGCCAATATATATCGCAATTCTGAAGAGAAAGTGCAAGTAACTTATTGGAGATTTCATGGACTGTAGCCAATTGACATGAATCAGCAATGCTATCATCCACGCCGTGTGCCTGGGTTGTACGTGTTACGTTGAAGAGTCAAGCAAACCGGAGCGTTGAGTGGACGGGTGAAGAGCTGCCCAGGATATGCAAAGCTCAGCGGCGGACAATGAAAACACTACATGGGTATTGGTTGCTACTATAATTTCACGGTCGTACCATCTTCGTCGTAGATCGCGTAGATCAAGCCTGTAAATTTTATTCTTGTTTGATACTGTCTCGTCAACGGCCCTTCACCGGAGGCTATGTTGCACGCCGATTGAGCATTGTGCAAGCGCAGATGACCTGGTTCGCATTTTACGATTGATACCGTAGACGTATCCGCCGTTATCCGAAATTGCAGCACTAGTCCGGATTTTTAGCCTATGATACACTCGTCCATGATACCTTTTTTGACTAGCCTAGTTTCAGATATCGTAAGACGGCGGTAATGCGATCATTTTGACGCCGCTGGCCTGGTCTTTCGACTTAAGCTAGATTGGGACTAGTGTCTGGACGACACAAACCTTTATTATGGAGCATAATGTATGGCGCACAGTCCGTGTGTCACGATCCCATTACTCTGCCTCTATCTTGCCCGCTATTATGCAAACTTGAATGTACTATTATGACCGTTCAATCTGTCAAACAGCCTCTGAATAACGTAACTTGGTTGTTTCATCCAAGTCTGTCATTTGCGCTTGAGCAGAATCAGGAGCCGATCGGAGCCGATGATTGGTCAGCAACATTTGCATCGAACACTGGTCGCGCGCGTTGGTCTAGGCTAAATCTGAGGTTAGCGTTAGATCGCGAAAGCGAACAATCCTCGTGTCCACCTGACAGACCCGCAAACCGTCCTTTTGGAGCCAAGAGTGAGACACATGCAACAGTGTGGGATCTTGGGGAATTGTGTGGAGTTTGATGAATGCTACTATGTGAAGCTATAGCCGCCTACTATGCGACAATGCTATGAATGTAGTGATTCTAATTGCTCCGTTGATTATAAAACATGCAATTTACAAGATTGATTCCGTCTCAGGATGTCGCTGTCCAACGTAGAACAATTGACGTAGACTTGGCTCCCACGTTCAGGGGAAAGGGTGATTTCAGGAAACCGGGGCTCGATCTGCGGGTGGAGCTATCCCGGGCAAATCGCAACGCTTCTGGCAGTCTAGACGCATCTTTTTCCGAGAGCAGAACCGTACAGAAGAGGTTGGCGGCAACCCGGGATTGAATTGGGGCAATCTGCATCACAATTGATTGAACCACGCTGTTTAATCAGGCCACTTGGCCATCTAGTCCTTGAGTATTCCCATGGATTACTCTCAACATAAGGGGTGAATCTGTATGGCACTAAAGGATTGAAGGACGCCTTCAAGATTGGGTTGATGCAGATAGGCGCGTCGTGCATGGTATAAGGCCTGGTAACCACATTCAGACTAGTGCATCATTGCGCCGAAAACTGCGATCCGAATCGGGCCGCAGACGGCCCCTGTCGGCACGGAACGCGAGCTTCTTACCCCCATGGCATGCATAGCGCACAGTCCATGCGAGGTGATCCCCTGGATCTGCCACTGACACCCTGACGCATTTGAGATCCTTCATCAGGCCTTCCAGCCGTAGCTGTAATTAATGGTCATTGCTGTTGATTGCGCTGAAGTATTTGGAATTGAGCCCGGCCTAGCGCAGGAACCTCGGCATGCACGGCTCAAAAGATGGGTAATTTCTATACTAGGAGTAGTGTGGACAGGGGTACCTGCAGGATTTTCTTTGTACAGAATGTAGATCCCTCAGCGAATCAAAAATCCAGGTCAGCAAAATTATATCTCTTGAATCATGTTGCAGACCCCGTAATGGCTAGATGCATTGTAGGCGTAAGTGAGACAGAGTCAATGGTGCAGATCACTCTTGTAAAAGAAAGGCAATGTGAGCGGAACGACGCGATATGAAAGAAGGGCGTGAGTGATATTTGTGTCCCCCAAGTGGATATTCATTGACAGGCTGGCTCTAATTCGTCGTAGAGTACCGCGACATTGAGGCTTGGGGGTATGATTGGCTGATTGACGGAAATGATAATCTTACTCGCGCGTGGATCTGTAGGGAACGGTGGATACCCTAAGAAAAGTGGGCCATGTTAGGTCGATTCCGGCACGACAGAGCTTTCCCCGGACAAATCAGAGAGCTTTTACCATCTAGATCTGTCCATCAATGACTGAAAAGAGCACTGCTGCTATATTCATCTGCCCGTGATTGTTCGCAGTACAGAAATTACCCTCACGATAGCCATTCGATGGGATGGTACGTCACGAATGGTGATTCTACGGCGGGACCTGGCCGAAGGTGACATGTGACCCTCTGGATACTGCTATGTGATGTTCGAAGAATTACCTCCCATGGAAGCGAAGCTCTGAATATTCTATTCGGGTATTCTCTCACAGTCTTTGACGCTTTGAACCCACGATCTCTCGATTTTTGACTGCACTACTGCTCGACAAAACCTCCACCTGTTTCTTCAATGCAGCCATCTCTTTCACCAACGTGCCTTTAGTACCAATCTTTTCTAGAAACTCTCGTTGCATTCCCTGATTCCATAAGTCCTGGCGAGTGAGTGAACCTGCGCTAGATCTGAAGCGGGTCAGTGTGGTGACTCTGGTTTTGCCTTGAAGGGAAACCTACTGTACCCGATCTTCCAATCTATATACCAAGCCGTTAGAATGTGATATCTCACAATAAGATAGCTTCCGACTCACTCTGCCATGCATTCAATCATTTCAACCACTAACTTTGCGACATCCTTAGTGCTCAGGGACTTTACAGATCTGGCTTCCCCCAAGGCCAATTCCTTGATCCGTTTCTTGGTTCGTTGTCCCTGAGCCGCCTCTTCATCACTGCAACCATCTATGGAAGTAGCCTTGTCATCGTCGTCAGATTCATCGTTTTGCTGAGAACAGCAATCGTCGTCTTCAGAGCCAATGATTGATGTCGAGGGGCTCCCGGTATTGTTTGGCTCCGGTGAGCCTGACGAAAGCAATCGAGTCATTCGATCTGTGTATCGTTGCGAACCGCTAGCCTGAGTTCTCTGGACGCCCATCGCCACTGTCTTCAAGTAGATCAGGCAGAGTATCGTGGAAGAGACTTGAAGTAGAGAGTGGGAATAGTAAGAAATGCAAGAGTTTGCGCCTTTAAAGAACCAAAGTGAGAAGTGACCAGTACCCAAACAAGCCTAGTAAATATCATCAGAGCCGAGCATCTCCCAATGTCAAGAGAATAATCATTTAATCCGTTTTCCGAGGGGTCCTCTTTTGCCCAATCTCCGAGTGTACCCCAAAGAAGAGTATGAAAAAAAAAACGTATTTTGAATAGGCGACATGGCCGTTGAAGATGGCCTATGCTTTCCCCAAGTGGCATGCCCCACAAAAAGCAAACTTTAACATTTATTTCATGTTTATTATCCTGATCCTCTTTATTTTGCGCCTGTTTAACTAGACATTATTCATATATCATTGCTCACTGGAATTAATAATACTTTCTCATTTAAACGCTAGTTTATAGGAATATGAATATTATGCGTATTTTATTTTTTATTCCGGCCGCCTTCACTTTCAAGCGCAGGGGTCATCGCGAAAGCCGGTCCAGAAGAGGCTTGTGCCCATGACCGAATTGCAACCAAAATATGACTGGGCTGGTATTGACCGTTTTATCAACCGGTGAAGTATGCGAAAGACCGCCACATTGATCTCACAAATCACAGTCTAAGCTGGACAAGCTACGAAACTGCTGGGTAGCAACATATTGCTCTTGTCGCATTCTCAGACTGTTCCTTTCGGTACCTACACAGATGCCAAAGACCGACCCGAGTACGAATGCATCCAAAGGAGACCCATCGGCTAGGGTCTTGTCCGACAAGCCCATTACCACCGTTATAACAGAGGACCGCAATTAAACAAGGCCACTGTGGAGCTGTTCCATCCTTGATAAACCTGTGACCACCCCCGACTTCGACCGGAGTCCTTTCACAGTCTCACTGCATCTGATCTTTCAACTCATCTTCACTGCTTTTCTTATTCAGAGGGTTATCTGTCATCAAGATGTCCAGAGTCAAGATTTCTAAGAATGAGAAGATCGCCTGGTCTTCGTGGGAAAAAAGAAATCTCCTTTCTTGGTTGCATCTGCACCGAGGGATGTCTTGGAAGCAAAGGTCTAAGGCATACTTCAGCCAGTTCCGCGTGAAACGAACGGGCGAGGCATTGAGATGCAAGCAGAATTATTTGTTGCGGAACCCTCACTCCACGCAGAGAAGTGAGTTTGAGCCTTCCAACTCGGGGACTCCGCCGCCACGAGCCCGACGCGAAGAAGCTCGGGGGTCTTGCTTGCCGTCTCTTCCGATTTTTAGACCCAAAGGTTCCCGCACAAGGACTCGTGATTTGATCCATACACTGGAGCATCTGGCCGTTTCAGAACGTCGACGCTTGATAAATGACTCGAATACAACGGAGAGACTACCAGGTGAGATATGGCGGCGTTCTTGGCAATGAGACAGGAGGGCTGACGATTCAGTAGGTTCTACGACCCGACTGCCACCGACTCCGATATCCAAGGCCCCACGACGTGTTTCATACCTCTGGAAGTTTGTGCATCGCATGGCGGCTGCTACGAGAACGCCACGGAATGTTGCAAGCTTGTGATCTTCAACGCCCACCTCATATGTACACAGCTCAATGGACATAATCCTGTCCACCTTGCGGGTTCCGAAGTGTTTGTGTATATATAAATGATGTTGACACTGAAGGTCCGGCCGTTATTTGGTGGACCTATTTGAGATTGATCTATGGTCAATGAGTCGGCATTGTGTTGCGACGGGATTGACTGCCAGTCCATGTAATATAATGATGCTACTAGTTGCCGCCACGTACAGGGCACAAACAGCTTAAACCCCATATTGGTAGAGCCCGACTGTGCTATTGTCTCTCATTCCTCCCGAAGTGATTGAATACCAGGGAAGAACCGCAAGAGACCAGATGGCATTCTTCGGCATCTAGTTGTACCGCCAGTGGTGGCGCTTTTTCTTGGCCTAGGACAAGGCTACAACAATCTTCAGTAATATATATATATACTTCTCTAGAGCACGCTATTCTAACGTTCCATTTCTCCGACTTGAATCAAGTGCCTAGGCATGTGATTGAGGCATTGTCCGTTTCTTGCGCGCTGGATGGCCCTGAATAGTGGAAACTTACCTTTCCTTGCACAGTTCATCTAAGCGAGCCTTCATGTTCTCCTGTGTTTTCTCTAATCCTTGGATCCTTTCTCTGAGAGCTGTAGTTTCGCTGAGTAATCTCTGATTTTCGGTCAATACGTCGGCGAGGTCATTCTGTGTACAACTATTGACAAAGTGTTCGATTCTCCTATTCCTTCTGGTCAGCATATTGATTGATCAACTGAAAAAGATACTTCGACTCTAGCAAGGTACCGGAGCAGGGGTCTTCCAGACCAAGAAGGCTATTTACTTACGTGACTCGCTTGTGGAGGCTGTAATCCTGAAAGTCAGCACAATAAAGCCAATCACTGCACGTTTGGAGCTCACTCTTGGATTTGCTGGGTTGGCCGCAAAGAGTGCCGTGCTGCTGTGAATGTCGATTCAGCCACCACTCATCTTGTCAGTGGGCCTTGACCACGAATGATGGTACAGTCGATAGCGAAAACGGCTTCTACCCCCCAGACTGCCTTTCTTCTCCCAGGCCCCACTTCCAAGGCACTAGCCTAGGTCTTTTAATGGCCAGACCACACCAAGCTGAGGGCCGCCGTAAAAAACAACGTACCTCGTACTACAACAACCAAGCTTCACTACTTAAAATTTAGAGCGCAGATGTAATTTTACCAACCAGCTACAGTACCGTACGCGGGCTTGGTACACTGGCCCTCAACTTCATGTACTCCGATCAATAGATGATCTGCGCTAAGGCCTTGGCAGTGGAACCTGGGAGAAGAAAAGCAGTCTGGGGGGGAGAAGCTGTTTTCGCTATCGACTGTACTGTACCTTCTTCATCCTTGCTACGGAAAACTAAGCCAGGGGTTTCTTTGAGACGGGACGAAGTTGTTGTTAAGTTTTGCTCTTCTTCTGGCGACATCAAGCTTGCAAATCGTGCTTCATAAGATCCTAGTTGGCGACTGGATCGTAGAGTCTGCGCATACGACATTGAAAGAACGTGATAATATTAGACGAGCGTTAAAGAAAGTTCAGAATCAAAGGAGGTAGGGGAAAAGGCGAACGAGGGCGGAAGGATGATAGGCAAAGGCAGCAGTGGATAAATTTGAGGGGCCGTTCCTCAACTTCCTTACATTGCCCAGTTTTGGTAAAGGGCGGATCCACATGAATACCAAAAGACCTGGAAGAAGAGGGAATCGGGGCAATACGTCTCTACGAGATAAATCAACATAACGGGCAACATTGAGTAGCAAGCGGCACTGTAATAGCCATTTGACCACAACATTACGAACCAACGAAGATGTTTGTGGAGGCAGTCTGAAGACCGGTTTCGTGCATCGCATTTGATTCACATGCCCGACTTTTGATACATGGATATCCACCGGTCTCCCGATCCACCCATCACGAAGTTGGTTGACCACCGCGAAAATCATTCAACACAATTATGTACATGTACAGTTAGGAGACGTTACCTGAAGTGATCTAACTTGTCTCACCATTGTGAGTATATCGTCATCTTGAGTAATTGCATTTTCGCGAGGCTGGGGCTGCGTTAATGGTAGCTGTCAATTCCCGTAGTGGGAGTAGATAAAACGCGATGCGCACCCAGATTGAAGAGTAGGAGCAGGCTTCCTGCCCTCCCTCATTGCCATGAGCCCCGTGAGGTAAATTCTGTGCTCCCTCATTGCCATGAGCCCCGTGAGGTAAATTCTGTGCTCCCTCATTGCCATGAGCCCCGTGAGGTAAATTTTGTGCTCCCTCATTGCCCTGAGCCCCGTGAGGTAAATTTTGTGCTCCCTCATTGCCATGAGCCCCGTGAGGTAAATTTTGTGCTCCCTCATTGCCATGAGCCCCGTGAGGTAAATTCTGTGCTCCCTCATTGCCATGAGCCCCGTGAGGTAAATTTTGTGCTCCCTCATTGCCATGAGCCCCGTGAGGTAAATTTTGTGCTCCCCCTAGCAATGTGCAGCACCTCTCCGTGGTGCTAGGGACCAGTACTCGATGATCATACGTTATCGAGGAAGCTAAGACTTGCACAAAATCCATTTACTACAGTATCTCGTTGCAGTTGATACGCGCACAGCATCGTCCTTCATTTTGCGTGCGTACCGAGAGGACGATTTTCTTATATCCTGGGCTTACAGCCTGTAATCCCAATATAAGATTCCAAGTAATTTTTGATTTTTCATTATCGAATTTCCCAATGTGGCACTTGGCTCTATTTATATCAAGTTCGATACTGTCACCATATAAAGCTCTTAATTAGATTGCGTTCGCAATAGGTGTAGAGTTTTATATGCCAGCCGATTCAACGCATTGATTACAACTGGTAGGCAGATTGCGGTTTTCGTCCTAGCAAAAGGAAGGGTTAACAGAACTATTGATTAAGGTAGCAATGCAAGTAATTAAGTAGAGCAGTTAGGCAAAGCGGTTGGACTAAGTACTTAAGCATAGCGGTTAGTAGAGCGGTTAAGTAGAGTGGTTAAGTAGAGCGGTTAAGTAGAGCGGTTAAGCAGAGCGGTTAAGTAGAGCGGTTAAGCAGAGCGGTTAAGCAGAGCGGTCAAGCAAGGCGGTTTAACCAAGTGGTAAAGAGGTTAAGTGATTAAGCAAGTGGTCGCAGAGCGGTTACTAAGCGGTCAAATAGAGCGGTTAAGCAGAGCGGTTAAGCAAGGTGGTTCAATAAAGCGGCAAAGAGGTTAAGTGATTAAAGCAACTCGTTGCCGAGTCTAAGTGGTCAAACAAAGCGGTCAAGCCAAGTGGTCAAGATCAATGGTTAGCATCAGAACCAATGATAATTCTGAACCGGCTCGAGATTTGCCTGGTATATGTAGGACTGCTATCATACAGAACGGGTATCATATTGTCTAATTATTCAGGATGTTACTGACGTTCTAGTCCAGACAGGTTTATTAGATGATTCACAGGCAAAGTCAAAGCTGAGGGGGCCGCGGGACTATCCGGCTCTGGTGATCAACCGGACGGGCTTGTCGCGCACGCATGAACCATGGCACAAATGACGGAATTTACCGCCAAGGTGGGGACAAACCGATTCCCCGCCCAATCAGTAACTTTCCATACCCCCTGCATTGGAAGCGAGATTAAAGAAAACAACCCGCAATAAAGTTATGTATTGATAACGGTTTGGTTGCAGGGACGAGTCATAAACTCAGCTTTGAACGGGCCAGGTCCGGAACTCGTGCTTCCCACAGAGTGATATATAGTCCAACAGGCGAATCATAAATTCCCTAGGTGCCTACGCACGTGATGTCAACAGACATATTTATAACTAGCACTGTCCGCACCTCTGATCACTTGGACCTCGCAAACTCCTTTTCATGAAACGGTGTCACATGGCTATAGTTGTCCTTGAATAAATGGCAGTCTTCGGTGATTGTGCCCATCTTACGTGTCCAAGTGTCCAACGGATTTGAACTGATATTTCGTCAGATCTAGTCAGGCTCGAGATGGACTCCAACGCTGCCACTGTCGAAGGCATGCTGAACTGTCTACCAGACATGAAAAGTGTGTTCCTTGAAAATTTCAAGCCTGTTCAAGACAAGCTGGCTTCGATACTTCAGCACTCTCAGTCACATTTCACGGCACTGGCGGGGCGAGAGAGCTTTGCTGGATTTCTGAACGTTCCCCTCATAAGCGACGCCCTAGTGAAGACAATCGAAGTGATGTTTGAGGCACCAATGCCTTGTGTGCTTCAGCTACAGAACGACGAAGCCAGTGCCAATATTACGTGGTTGGACGTTGTCAAGGAAAAGAACTATCAGGCCGAATATCAAGGGAATGGGAACTACCATTTCCATATGCGGGACTGGGGCGTGATTATCCAGTTGTCTGCTTTCCAACACAACATGATTCTTTCAGGATTACCCCGAAAGCTTGTTCAACCATGGTCCTACGAACAAGACGTGCAGACAGAACTAAGCACATTGGCGCTGGCAGCTGAGATGACATCACTGGTGAGCCATCTTGCTTCGGAAGGTAAGCCAACTCCAACATTATCCGTATCCTGTCCTATTCACTTGCTTACATCAGCCCTCAGTGATCAAAGTCAATAACGCTGTGCTTGAAGAAATACTGAGAAGAGATCGAGTACTCCGCCACAATCCGAGTCAGAGGTCAGCGGGCTCTCCCTTTCCCATGGAATCAGCGGAAGAGCCGGCACAGTATACGCCAGCGCAGGTTGAAGCAGATTTTTTCGATGAGATGGCCATCGAGACTCAAGCAACAGACGTGCAAGCTAGTGGCTCAAAATATGGTACTAGAACACGGAACTGTAAGTGTTTGTATATGACAAAATGGTATTAAAAGTAAGAAATTTGGAGAAATATACTGACAACATGGATGGTCCAGATCCCAAAAACAGGGCTTGGCCTGCAGAAGTATTGAAGCAGCTTCCTCTATGGTTCGAAGACCAAGTACGGAAGGATCTGTCGCAGGAAGAGATTGCCCAAAATTTTGACCGAAAATTCAACCAAAAGCGGACCTTCCACGCTATTGAGGCAAAAGTGTATTTCTTAACAGGCAAAAGTCCTTTTCGGAAGCGCAACAAGAGGAATTTGCGCAAAGAACCTGTGTCTTTGACACCTCGCTCCTCACCGCATTTTCAACCGCTCGAATTGGTGGAATCCACCCAGCAATTCATCACGAGGTCGAACATCGAGGTTCACGCTCTAAGTCTATCCTCGAGCCTGCTTCCGCATCTGAATTCGGAAGACTGCGATGATGGAAGCCTCTACGCCGCTCATGGTGTTCAACCGGTTGACCCAGAATCAGAGTCCAGCGACCCTCATGCGGTATCTGAACACGACATTGCGAACCAAGCGTTAGAGAGCCAGCGCGCATCTCAGGCGATTGAATGCTCGTTGGATATAAGTCAGAGTGAATGGCCAGCTCACCGAAGCTTTCGGGCTGAAGAATCGCCCACGGCCCCTCCAATGTTTTCAGATCTGGTGCACGAAAGTCGGCTAACGACCGAGAAATTAACAAATGACCTCGCCACAACGTCAATGACAGTTGCTGATTCTCTCTTGCAGGGCTCATCCTCGGAGTCCTCTCAAATATCAGAACCTATTCAATTTCCTATCCGGCACCACTCTGAAGGCGATATAACATTTGAAGAGCTCGGCCAAACACTCATTCATCCAACTGGATCCAGTGCAATGCATGTGGAACAGGCAGATACGGCGCATGACAACCAACCACCAGGAAGAAATTGTCCGCAATCTTCACTGGGAACTTCATTGACTGGAGGTTCATCAAATGAGTGTTCTAACAATGAAAGCCACCGAGAAAGCGGAATCGGTGCGTTGACTGTTCCCAAGGCGCCAACGGTCTTCCAAATTCCCGAAGCAAGTTCCACTGACGAATCGACTGAGCACCACTCTCGAAACCGCGGAATGGGTAGGCCAACCCCCGATACCTCTGAGAGAACTTTGGCGGAAGAAGAATTGATCAGAAGATATCTTCGTGAGAAATCTCAAGCTCAAGCGGGGATTTCTCATCGCTCATGGATTGCCAAGGACCTGGAACGTTTACCAGGGTGGCTCATGAAACGGAACAGTTTACCAAGGGACAGACTTGAAGTTGAGTTTCTGAGAGACTTTGGACACTTTCGAACATCTTTTGCCATTCGTGCAGCTTGTCGCAAAAAGAAAAAGGCAGATTCCCGTCAAAAAGATGGCCTTCCCGATACTATGCCGGTATCACGACCAACCAACACCATCGTCGACACTCCCAGCTTAGAGCCATCCCATACGATAGCAGGCAATGATAGTACTACCCCCAAGCATCCACCGTCAGTGCAATGTCGACCGTCACAATTTGGTCATCCACAGGTTCCAGACAACAGAGAAAGACCATATCGAAGCAGCCCTGCATTTTATCATGAGGGTGAAGAGGCAAAGGAGTTAAATTCACCAGCTGCATCCGAAGATTCTTCTGAACAGATGGTGCTTTCAACATCTTCTGGAAAGTTCGAAAATACCCCCCAGTCTGGTAATCGAGGCCATCGAGCTACCACGCTAAAGTATCGGGCCAGTTTCACAGCAATTAATGGTGACAACCACCACCCCACGGATCCAGATATAAGCGAATTGACTCCGGTTGATCAGATGGAGTCCAACGAGCGAGAACAAGGAAGCCGCCGAGCGTCCAAAGGAATCCCCGTCGAGCGCAGAAGAGATGACCAACATATGTCCCAGGAGGGGTCACTGAGTAAGTTCTCTAATGCAGTGCTCGCCATCGTCAGGGAGTCCTTCAAGCATATCAAATCTATTTGTCATCTAACCTTCCTCCAATTTTTCCTTTATCTGTCTCTACGTTCAACACTGACTGTTTTCGTTCGCCCTTGCAGGCAGAAGAGGAAGCCACGACCAGCCTTCCTCTAAGAACACACCGGCAGAATTGCATCCCTCAAGATTGTCCCCTGAAACACCCAAAGGAGCCCCAAACCAGCAGTCAATCTCTACTGTTATTCCAAAATCCAATGTTGCACAGCAGACAATGCGTCCAAATGCTCAGCACACGGTGCAGCCTCAAGCGCGAGACGTCAATATCCAATCCACAGGCATCATTCAGCCCAGTAACATCTCTATCACAGGATTCCCGTGCAACTCTACAGATTCAAACTCTCAACCATCCCATTCATACACACCCAATTCCCAATCGATTAGCAGTGTGCCAGGGAGTACCCACACAAGCGGTTGGTCCATACTCCCTCCACGTGCTCGCACGCAGTTCTGACATGAATTCCGAAGCCGTTGGTCCAATATCAACCCCATCGCCCTTTCTGAGCAGCTTTACCAGTCTTCCTCACTATCCTCTTCACGAATTGCAGGGACACAGCACCGAAAGTTACCAGGGCCCTCCGCTCCCATCCTTGGCACAGCAAATGTACCATCATGCCGAGAAGCTTCATAGATAGTCACATGTGCTGTCTAGCCCTCATACTATCCCGTGTCTACCTCGAATACTTCGATAATAGAGCTTCAATCAAATAAGTCATGGCATGGCTTAAATAATGTCAGGGTTCCACCCTCAGTCATTGAGCGTCGTACAGTTTCTGGCATATGTTTGGACGCTTCATTACAAGTATCAGAGATGGTTATGAGCCCACGGAAATGATTTAAAGAAATAGCACGGCCGTGGTAAGGTTACCTGACCATTAGATACATAGAAAGGTTGCAAAAAGAGCTACTTTCGCCGGAGCATCAAATACAAATGCGCCATTTATTCAGGCTTCCAGGAATGCATCACGTAGCGCACACAACATATCACAGGAACAGACTACGAGGATGAGGAGTACTTGGACGATATCTATGCAAATGCTTGAGATTGGTTGAATCTGTTTTCGGTCTCTAAGTTATCTTACACTGATCCATACAGGGTCAGCCTGTAATAGGTTTAGTTGCACCTTGAGACGCATCATAATGCAAGTAGCTATTTCGGTGGTCAAATGGGGAGGCTAATGGACAAGTGGTCAAGGTGACGAGAGAAATGGTCGGTCGGACAAGTGGTCAAGTGGTCGAGTGGTCAAATGGAGGAGGCGAAAGGACAAGTGGTGTGGAGCCCCATCCATGCATGAATCGTATAGGTCAATGCGCTCTGTCCATAGCACTGAAGCACCCGGAAGGAAATATCGGAAACCCCTATGCGGATTCATAGTGAGTGCGTTGCAAGGCCACTTCGAGAAGTCACCGCTCATCTCGGAGATGCATGAACCGCACATCAGAATAATTGACTTCGGTGTTGGTACGTGGCAGGCTCCATTATTTTCATTTCTTCGAACGACACTTCTAATAGCTGTAGTTTCTTGGGCAGACAACTATCTGTCAGATCTGATACAGTCTCCAGCTCTAGGAGCACCAGATTCCCCGCCTCTCTTCTAAGATAGCTATCCGAGGCATTGGCTGGACTTCTTCGGTGTTGTGAGTTGGCTGAATTCGGTCATTAATTTGACAATCGGAAACCTGAAAGAATCGTTGGGCAACAGTCGGTCAACAACGTAACCTGTGGATATCAATGCCGGATGAATCAACGTACGGTCAACGACAAACGGTCAACAAACAACGGTCAACGACAAACGGTCAACAAACAACGGTCAACGACAGACGGTCAACGACAAACGGTCAACAAACAACGGTCAACGACAAACGGTCAACAAACAACGGTCAACGACAGACGGTCAACGACAAACGGTCAACAAACAACGGTCAACGACACACGGTCAACGACAAACGGTCAACAAACAACGGTCAACGACAAACGGTCAACAAACAACGGTCAACGACAGACGGTCAACGACAAACGGTCAACAAACAACGGTCAACGACAGACGGTCAACAAACAACGGTCAACAAACAGCAAATGGTCAACAAGTGGTCAACAGCAGCTTGGATTTCAAAATAATGGTAAAGAGACAGGCAGCAATAATACATGGTGAAAATTAAATCGTTAAAAGCAGAGGGTGACCGGTCAAGCACATTCAAGGGAGCGATAATCGGCAGTCAATCCTTGTTTCCGTTGCCTTGTTGATTATACACCAGGACGTACTGGATATACTTCATGGATACGAATTGTCAGAAAAGTGAAATATACATAAAGCTCGCACTCAAGTTTTGAGTAAACGCAGGAGAATGCTCCGCAAGTCTCAAATCAGAAATCCTCAAGATTTCAATCTCCTAAACGTTCAAGCAAATGGGAAAGTCTCTGTAATATGTTGAGAGAAAAAAATTTAGACTGTAAGATGGAATTAGATAATTCAAAAACTGCACGGTTTAACTCCGCACCGGTGATATTGCTATGTAAAATAAGATCGATCTCGTCAACCATGCTCCAACAAGGGGCAAAAATGCAGCAAAGTTCTTTTCAGTAAGCTCAAGCTCATGAGCTTGAGACCCAACCAGCACTGGCTGTGCATCGTGCTCTCCCCTCATATTTTGGAGTCATAGATGGCTTTTGAAAATTAAAGACCAGAGTAAGATCCGATTTCGATCATCCCCAGGGCTCTTGGCCCAGAGTTGATAAGGGATAGCCATAAGATATAACGTTACAACCAACCAATGATGTCAAGCAACTCTTTTGTAAGTTTCCAAACCCAGAATAGGGTTCACTTCCGCCATGTTTCCTCGGTTTTCCGAGGGGCTGATCTTAATGTCTCAACCAAGCGACCATTTCATTGGTCTCATAGTCCCAGACAATAATACGTTAACCGTAAAACCATCAACATTCTGACTGATGCTGGTGAGGGGTCAACGCTGGAGCAACATGATAAGGTCTGGCGACTTGCACTCAGGGGTGCCAAGATCTCTTCGCTGGTTCCGGTTTGTTGGAAAGATACAGCGCTTCGACGAGATGCCCTAGAAGCTCAACGAGGAGGTATTTAGAGTATTTGATTCTAATTATCAGTTGTATGATAAGGAAAGAGGTGTTACAATAGCACCAATCCATGGCGTGGCCGTCGAGCTGTTCCTAGGAGTTAAAAAATTGCGCAGATCCGCTGTAAGCATTTTGCGCACATTACCATAAAAAGAATTACGACGTGATGAATGGTGTAATTGTCGGTATTTGAACAAGAGGGTGGTTTCTATGATATGAGTAAGGTGATTCATCTAGATTTCGAAAAAAATCCACAGAGAGCAAAGTGGTGAATCTGATTTCGCTCCATTCACGCATGCCAGGGCGGAGGGAGACAGCCTCTCCCAGATTCCAACAGCCGGGTGTTACGATACATTACATACCACTGACATTTCATTACTTACCTGACAAACAAACTGTGGCGAGGCGTTTTGTATTGTACTGTAAGGCTTGTGTAAGGGAAAGTATCCAGCCAAACAAGGTGTCTCACCTAAATGTGGTTTTCTAGGACATCTCGTAATCGATCTATATTCAACCAGACGATAGAGTTGTGTTATTGTACGTGCCATTATCATAGAGAAAAAAGCGCAAGCATACTTGCAAATGTAAAGAGGCCTAACTGATGAAGTTTGATTCAAAAGCCAACGAGTGAAGCGCATATTTTGAGGCTACTATTGGTTCAAAGGAGGGCAAGAAGAACGGAGTGCATTTGAGTACTTAGTCTAGTGGCGTTTCAGTCATCTTAGCAGAGCTATTCTTCATACGCAGCTATAAAAGTGAAGGCTTTTGACATGATTCGTTGGCAGCTTCGTCAATCTTTGACAAGTCGTAAATCCTGTGTAACTCTATTCTGTCCGTGCTTTATCTAGTAATAGATTCATGTATTGCTCAAAGAATGTAAACTCTCTGCACAAAGAGATTCGGCGTACCGCGGGCTTTATGGTCTGCGAATAAATGAATATTCTACAAGCCAGCCTTGATACGTTGCGCCTCAGTGAAGTAACGTATCGAGTGGACCCTCTCTGCATGGCTTTTGAACGCTTGATGTCCACGAAAGGCGAGTCCACATAGTTTATCAGGGCAAGAGATAAATTGGTCACTTTTGAAATTGTGGAGGTGCTTTTCGAAATGCTCTCTGGCCTTCCGAGTCGATGCAAAACAACATTGGTAATTTGGCTCAAACACACAGAAGAGACAGTACCGAGTTGTCAGAGAAATTGGACGACTTCGTGGTTCAGGAGATGGAGAAAAGCCCGGCTCTGCTGTCAATCAACCACGACTTAGCTGATGTTGATGGCCTCAAAAGATACCCTTATCCTTAGCCACTCTCTATAGGTACGCCTTCACTTGCTTTTACTCTTTTTGCGGCTAAAACACATTAGGACTGAATATTGGCCGATTTAACTTCTACGTGACTCTCTGTGTTACCAAGCAGTGGCAGGGAGAACAAGGTAGCTTCATCTACTATACACTCTTGCATGTCGCTTTTCTCCTTGTGAACAGATTGATTTAATTATTGAAAGGAAACGGAATCCTTTGATCATCTTGAGTTCTATCGGGGTAGTCAAATGTAATGTTACTTGCAAAAGAAACATAAACATGGCGATCACACCGAAAGTGTGACGTGCGACCAACTCACATGACGACGTGCATCTGTCATCTGTACTGTATGCTGAAGAAATATTCTAGACCATGCATCTTCAACAACCATGTCAATCGACGGTGGCCAATGGAGGAGTTAATTCGTAATTTTTGATTTTACGCGGGGTGCACTCGGCGAGTTACTAAAGCGGCTGGCTTGTTTAAACAATTGAGGTGGTCAAATGTGGATGCTTGCAGTGGAGACATCCTGAGGTCACCTCAAAATAGATGTGCAAAAGGCGGGCATTTTAGCGCAGTAACCCACGGTCATGTTTAGAAGGCTAACCGGTCAACAGTTGATGTATCTTTGTTTAAGTTGACTGATTCTTCTTTCTTTCATACCCATGAAATGGATTAGACATCGGGCTTGGTGGTGAAACTAAGCTGGAACCTGATCCATTTGCGGGCGTGTAAATTGAAGCTGAGCAGTTAGGTGAGACCTGATGGTCCGTAGGAATTGATTCACCCCTCTGATATCCTCACAAAAAATACGTGTTCTGACATGCCGCCGTATATTTTGTTTTATTTATGTTATGGTCTCACATTGTGCAAATACAGGATGGCACCATGGCAGATTCTTCCTCTTCTTCTTTCTCTTGTACAGTAAATATCTCATCGCGTCTGGCAAAGAATTCCATTCGCTCCATAATTATGAACCTTGCTAGGATGCTAGCTGTAGAAGCAGCTTAGTGACATGAAAGGATTTGGATGAGATGATGAGAGAGCTGTTTCATGGGGACATGTTGTCCTTATATAGCTGGGACTTCAAGCTCGAGTCGGCCGCCGTAATGAAAAAAGACAGGGTAGTTTGATTGGACTATCCCTAATTGGATGGCCTTTGCCGTCTTCTTTGTGCCTCATAGACATGACGCGTTATTTTGGGGGCAAGGGATCCTCCAGAAAACGAGGGCAGCCCAAATATCGTCAACGCACTAACCATCACAGAATAAATGGCCCTGTGGGGCCTGTCTCTATTGGGTAAGGTCTAGATTGAGTTACACAAATCAGGGGTGCTCACTGAGCGTTACTAAGGTGTCCCTGAGCACTCATTGAGCGATCCCGGAGCACGCACTGAGCATACCCGAGTGGTCAGTGAGCACTTACTGAGCACGTTGTGGATCAGTCATCATACACGTGACCGGACCTGAGCATGCTCACTAAGTTTGAGCCGGTGCTGATATCTACTCACTGATCCTGAGCCTGAGCGCCCTCATAAAGCGGCGGCAGCCCAGATAGCAAAGGCCCCACCCGGCAGACATTTTCCTGTCTATAGATGCATATGATTCGAAATTTACTCAAGCACAATGAACAGAAACAACCATCTCCGAGGCTACATTTCACTGAGCTCGTAATCGCCTTGATCGACGTGGCTGATGTTTGATAGTGGACGCCTTGGTTTTGCCTGGATGTTCTTTAACTCTCTGCTGCCTCTCAGGCTGCTTTTCTTGGCGCCCCCTTTTCCGAGATGAGCGCGTCGCATGCTGCGATGAAAATTCTTAGCTAGGAACAGGTTCTAGATTTGCGGCCTGTGCTGCTCTCCTCGTCACTCGCCGTGTAGAAATATCCGCCAACTTTGAATCGGTACTCATCCCTGGACATTCAGAAGAGCGTAAATGTCAATTCTTGACGGGAGGGTTGATGTTTTCATAATGGTGATAGGGCCGGGTGTCATCAATCGAGGATCGATATTTGTCATATAAAAATCGATAGAAGAAGCGGGAGTATCAGTGCCTTCCCGATTCTCTGATTCCATAGATATTTCTCTGGAAGATCCGTCACCATAGCTGAACTGTAGCCTTTCAGTGAGATGACACAATATAATATTGATATCATATTTGTGTTCGTTGTGAGCATGGGCTAAAAATTTGGTGATTTTGGCAAACTTCGGAAGAGTGTTACATGCTTCCTAGTTGCAGCTAATCCTGTCGTATGCACGAAGCAGGTGAGAGTCGATGAGATGACGACGAAGTGAGTCTGGTCGCTTTGAAGGAAATTTATGCGGAGGAGGGTTGGACACCGAGAGACGAGATTCACCGTAGCAGATGATGCAAACATCTTTTGGACATATTTGTGCATCATCAGACGCCAGTTGCTCCGGCTGTTCAGTAGCTATGTCTTCTTTTGCATCGAGATCCCAATCAACACGGATGCCTCGCTTGCTCGGCTCGCAAAGCAGTAGAAGCGCAACCAAGTCCTTGGTAACCTTGATGCGTCGAGCAAGTAATTTGTGGTTCTCCGGAAGGCTGATTGGACACGGATATTTGGCGGTTTGAAACTGCGACCCCTCGAGCCTCCTGATTCGGATTTTCCGCCATCAAAGCTCGTTATTTATTGTTCGTTATTTATTGTTCGTTATTTATTGTCTCGTGTGTACACACTGAAGAAAGCAGGCAAGTCATCAAATCCAGAAA